ACCCAGAAATTAGGGTTAGGGCTGTGCACCAGGGCAGGGTTAGGGCTAGACCAATGAGGTGTCCTATCATGCTTTTGATGGTTGGAATGTGTTTACAATGGGCAGAAAAGTTTATCTGCACAGAAAAATCCAATGAATGATGGGTTTTTCAAAATTGCTCTGTTTTGAAGGCAAGATCATGCCAAAGTTAGGGTTAGGCATATGCAACGGGGTAGGGTTAGGGTTAGAAAAACGCGGTATCCTGGCATGCTTTTGATGGTTGGAATGTGCTTAGAATGGGCAGAAAAGATGAGCTGCGCAGAAAAATCCACTGAAGGATGAATTTTTCGAAATTGCCCTCTTTTGAATGGAAGCTTATCCAGAATTTGGATTAGGTATATGCACGAGGTTAGTGTTAGGGTTTGAAAAAATTGGTTTCCTGGCATGGTTTTCATGGTTGGAATGTGTTTAGAATGGGAAGAAAAGATGAGTTGTGCAGAAAAATACACTCTAGGATGGGTTTCTCAAAATTGCCCTCTTTTGAATGGAAGCTTACCCAGAAATTAGGGTTAGGGCTGTGCACCAGGGTAGGGTTAGGGTTAGAAAAACGAGGTACCCTGGCATGGATGTAATGGTTGGGATTTGTTTAGAATGGGCAGAAAAGATGAGCTGCGCAGAAAAATCCACTCAAGGATGGCTTTATCAAAATTGCCCTCTTTTGAATGGAAGCTTATCCAGAAATTAGGGTTAGGTATATGCACCAGTTTACAGTTAGGGTTAGAAAAACGTGGTGTCCTGGCATGCTTTTGCTGGTTGGAATGTGTTTACAATGGGGAGAAAAGTTGAGCTGCACAGAAAAATCCACTGAAAGATGGTTTTTTCAAAATTGCCCTCTTTTGAATGCAAGATTACCCAAATATTAGGGTTAGGCATATGCAACTGGGTAGGGTTAGGGTTAGAAAAATGAGGTGTCCTGGTATGGTTTTGATGGTTGGAATGTTTTTAGAATGGGCAGAAAAGGTGAGCTGCGCAGAAAAATCCACTCAAGGATGGGTTTATCAAAATTGCCCTCTTTTGAATGGAAGCTTATCCAGAAATTAGGGTAAGGTGTATGAACGAGGTTAGGGTTAGGGTTAGAAAAACGAGGTGTCCTGGCATGCCTTTGATGGTTGGAATGTGTTTAGAATGGGCAGAAAGGATGAGATGCGCAGAAATATCCACTGAAGGATGAATTTTTCAAAATTGCCCTCTTTTGAATGGAAGCTTATACAGAAATTTGGGTTAGGTATATGCACCAGGTTAGGGTTAGGGTTAGAAAAAATTGGTTTCCTGGCATGGGTTTGATGGTAGGAATGTGTTTAGAATGGGAAGAAAAGATGAGATGCGCAGAAAAATCCACTCTAGGATGGGTTTCTCAAAATTGCCCTCTTTTGAATGGAAGCTTACCCAGAAATTAGGGTTAGGGCTGTGCACCAGGGTAGGGTTAGGGTTAGGAAAACGAGGTGTCCTGGCATTCTTTTGATGGTTGGAATGTGTTTAGAATGGACAGAATAGATGAGCTGCGCACAAAAATCCACTCTAGGATGGCTTTACCAAAATTGCCCTCTTTTCAATGGAAGCTTACCCAGAAATTAGGGTTAGGGCTGTGCACCAGGGTAGGGTTAGGGTTAGAAAAAATTGGTTTCCTGGCATGGGTTTGATGGTTGGAATGTGTTTAGAATGGGCAGAAAAGATGAGATGCGCAAAAATATCCACTGAAGGATGAATTTTTCAAAATTGCCCTCTTTTGAATGGAAGCTTACCCAGAAATTAGGGTTAGGGCTGTGCACCAGGGTAGGGTTAGGGTTAGAAAAATGAAGTGTCCTGGCATGGTTGGAACGTGTTTACAATGGGCAGAAAAATGAGCTGCACAGAAAAATCCACTCAAGGATGGGTTTTTTGAAATTTCCCTCTTTTGAACGGTAGCTTACCCAGGAATAAGGGTTAGGTAAATTCACCAGCTTAGGGGTAGGGTTAGAAAACAAGGTTTCCTGGCATACTTTTTATGGTTGGAATGTTTTTAGAATGGGCAGAAAAGATGAGCTGCCCAGAAAAATCCACTCAAGGATGGGTTTTTCAAAATTGCCCTCTTTTGAATGAAAGCTTACCCAGAAATAGGGTAGGGTATATGCACCGTTGTAGGGTTAGGGTTAGGAAAATGAGGTGTGCTGGCATGGTTTTGACGGTTGGAATGTTTTTAGAATGGGCAGAAAATATGAGCTGTGCTGAAAAATCCACTCAAAAAAGGGTTTTTCAAAGTGGCGTTCTTTAGAATGGAATCTTTTTTACTTAAATTATGGTTAGGTACCCTGATGCATGTACCTTGTTATTTATTTGATACTATTATCTATATTTATCTATATTTATAAATTCATAAAAATATTCTCTGTGTGGATTACAAATTAAGAAGAGTACACCATGTTAGACATTAAAATGCTCAGCAACATAAAACAGGGGTGATGGCAAGAGCATCCATGGAGTAAGCTGCATCAGTTTAAAAACATTAAAACAGCCAGCCATTAATAGCAGTAGAATATCCTGTATTTAGAGAGCTTGGGCATATAAAACCATTCTGATCTAGTGTCTAAAATTCATAAACCTGGGTTCTAGGAGTGCATTGTCGCTAAGAACGTCAAGATTTTTAGCAAAAGTGGGTGAATCAAATAGACTGAATACAGAAAGGTAAAAGCTTGGTAAATGGAAATGGTTTAACATAAAACTGTGAAAAGCATTTACAGGCTGAGTGGCAAAGAAAATCTTGCCCGGAGTTTAAGAGAATGAAACCACCACCACTACTACAGAGCATACTGAACTAACATGTATTTTTGTATACAAAAATCCAGATTGAAAAAGACAGTTATCTGGATCCAGAGCTACATTCTCTCTCCTCCTCCTCCTCTGTAACCCTTTGTTTGCTTTCAAGGCTCTCTGATGCATGTAGTGCTGTTTACTAGTTTTGCACCCTTGCTGTTGCACCCAATAACTGCTTTAAGTATCAATTTACCCTTAACGTGCACCCTTACTTGATGCAATTCTCTGCCACTGATATTCCGGTGAAATACTGCATAGGAGATATTTATTTATTTATTAAAACATTTTTATGCCGCCCCATTCGCCGAAGCCTCGGGGCGGCTTACAACAATAAATATTATATTCACACAATAATATTCCATGCTCACAATGGCAACAGATGCCTTCGCTGGGTGAAACAATTACACTTTTTTGGTGACAAGTCTCAGTGACTTTTTCCCCGCTGAGGAAATGAGATATATTGCAACTTTGATATATAGAAGATATATCTCTGCAACTTCTTCGTTGTGGCCTCTGTGCATCACACATATGGGTGCTGTGCCTGCTCAGTGCCTTTGGCTGGAAGATTACAAGCTACCGGTTTTTGGTGGGAAAGCTCCGTTTCCCCTCCCCCATGGCCTATAAAGAGCGCAGCGTTCGCCATTTTGTTCGGTCTTTGTGACCGCCATTCGCTGTGCCTCGTGCCGCTTTGGCTATCACTCTGACCATTGCTCGTCTAGCTTGTTCTTCTTCTCGATTATTCTCCCAGTTGTTATACCCCTGTTAGTTCTTGTTAGTTCTTATAGTTCTTCTGAGTTTTATAGTTCTCTATTGTTCTACCTTCTCTTTCGATCTTCTATTAAAAAAAAAACCAAAACCCAAAAATATATTCTTACCCTCTGCACCGTCTTCTATTTCTTCGTTTCTTGCAATGGCGCAGCGAGCGGCTTTCCGCAAATGTGCGGAATGCGGGTCGAAGATGTCTCTGACCGACCCACATGACCTATGCCTCCTCTGCAGGGGCATAGAACTGACAAATGTTCTCACTGCCTGGCCTTCTCCAAGCAGACCAGGAAAAACCATGAGAACCGCCTGCGGAGGCTCCTGTGGGATTGGGCTCTCATGCAGTCTGACCCACTCGTAGTTGCTCCGAGGCCTGGCTCTGCTACGGTGGCTAAGCCCTCACGCCCTTCGGAGGAAGGTGCGTCTACCATGGGGGCTCCACCTGCTTCTTCGAAGAAAAAGTGCGAGAAGCGTAAGCATGCTGACTCTGATAAATCAGCAAAGAAAGCCAGGAAGGAGAAGCCTCCGAAACCGACACAGAAGTCAAGGGACACGGAGCGCCCTCGGCACCGTGATTCGGGTTCGACAGCCCTCTTGGTACCGACGGCAGTCACTGTACCGACTCCACCCGATCCGGTGCTCCAGGCGGCTATGAGGGTCACCCCTCAAGGGCCCCCTTGCCGTGTGGCTGACCTTCCTGCTGAGCCGCTTCCAATTCTTCAGCGGGGGTCAATTTCTGATGGGGAAATTCAAGACTCTCCCCCCAGGGCTAGGTTGCCAACACCTATGCCCGCAGCCACAATGGAGGTGGATGTGGAGATGTCCCCACCTAGGAGCTGAAGGAGTCGCTCGATGGAACAGCGATCCGAGGGATGGCACCGCTCCTACTATCCGTCCTGGGGCGAACCACACTCTGTCGGGTACTATCCTGTACCTTGGGGTTGGTCTTCACCACCTTCCTGTGACCTTCCACTGTCCTCGGGTCCAAGGTGCGCATCCCCGATACCTCCTCGGGATGAAAACAGCCAGTCTGTCTCTCGGGTGGAGTCCTTGTCTTCAGCCCCTCCATTTTATGGTGCGGACTCCGACCTGGAGGTCGATTCAACCTCTCCTGACGTCGCTGTGACCTCCCAGGGCCCTGCGTCACCTGATGAGTCCCATGTCTCTTTCGCGGAGCTGATGTCCCAGCTTGTCCAGTCCCTTGACATCGACACCGTCCAGCATCCAGGACCTTCTATGGACAAGTTTTATGACGTCGTCTGTGGGGAGCAGTCTACCTCAATCGTCCTGCCGTTGATTACCACCTTACAACAGGCGATGACACAACCCTGGGACTTGCCTTCTCACCCTCAACCCACGTCTCGGAGGTACGAATCCATGTACTGGGTTCAGGAGGAGGACATTCCTTTCCTCCTCTGCCACCACAAGCTGAACTCGGTTGTGATGGAGTCCTCCCAGGGTAGACAGGAAAGAGGCCACACCGCACCAAGGGACAAAGAGGGACGTAAGATCGACTCCCTGGCCAGGAGAGTCTACGCAGCCTCAGGTTTGGGGCTGCATATTTCCAATTACGAGGTGACGTTGGCGAGGTACCAATACTTCATGCAACGCCTCCACAACATCGTCTCAACCCTCCCGGACCACCAGGGTGATCTGGCGAAGGTTCTGATGAAGGAGGCGATGCAGGTCGCTGTCCAGCAGTTGTCCACAGCCAGGCATCATGTGGACACTGACTCAAGAGCCTTGGTTGGTGCTGTCTCTCTCCACAGACATGCCTGGTTAAGGAGTTCCAACTTTCCGGAGGAGACTAAGCGGAGAATTGAGGAAATGCCCTTTGATGGGTCCGGGCTTTTCCACTCTAGGACCGACCACAAGCTGAAAAAACTCCACGAGTCCTGCATGATGGCCTGACGGATGGAGCTCCAGCCTCAGCTTAGGCGTAAGTGGGCATGGACCCGTCCATCCTATTGACAATCTTATCAGCCTAGGCAACAGCCCCAGCACCGGCCGCAGCAACAGCAATGCCGCTGTCAACAGCCCCAGCAACATTATCAACAGGGCCGTCACCATTATGACAGAGATAGGAGGCAGTGTTGACGGGACTGCTGAACCATTCCTCTGACCCCTTCCATATCTACCTCCCTCTCATCTGGGGACCGGCTGAGAAGCCGACTCCCCATTTGGGAGTCCATCACATCCGACCGGTGGGTATTATCCATCATGCAGCACGGCTATCGGATAGAATTCGACATCGTTCCTCCATTGAGTCTGATCCGGTTTACATCATGCTCGCCGGTATCGCTCGATGAAATACAACAACTTCTTCATAAAGGAGTAATTTGTCAAGTAACTCCACATGACGGACTCCACGGATTCTACTCCAGATATTTTACGGTCCTGAAGTGGGATGGTGGTCTATGTCCGATTTTGGACTTACGTACTCTGAATCGATTTATCGTGACAAAAAAGTTTCAAATGACCACCCTTCAAAATATTTTGCTGCTGCTAAGGAAAGACGATTGGTTCACCTCATTGGACTTGAAGGACGCTTATTTTCATATTTTGATTCACCCCAGTTATAGGCGTTTCCTTCGCTTTGCTGTTGCACCCGATTTATACGAATTTACAGTTCTACCCTTCATTCTGGCCACCGCTCCGAGAGTGTTCACCAAATGCATGGCCCCTGTCTGCGCTTTCCTATGCCTCCAAGGCATACAAGTTTACCCTTACCTTGATGACTGGCTCCTGGTGTCCTGGCCTAAGGAAGGACTCCTCACATGCATCCGTACAACCTGTGCCTTATTGGACGATCTGGGCCTATGCATTAATACCAAGAAATCTTCTCTCCTTCCGATGCAGATGCTTACATTTATTGGAGCCCATTTGGATTTGACGCTGGAAAAAGCCTTCCTCCCTCAGGACAGACAACAGACTCTTGTTTGCCACATCCATTGAATGCAACGAGACGGGACGGTTCCAGTGAAGTCCATCCAGAGGCTTCTGGGACATATGACTTCCTCTGTTGCTGTGGTGCCACACGCCAGACTTCGACTTCGTCCTTTACAACTATTTCTCAACAAGATGTTCCACCCACAGAGAGACCCACCGTCGAAGTTGCTTCGAATCCCATTCTTGGTGCTCCATCTCTACTATGGTGGTCGGTCCCGACCAATCTGACGGTTGGGGTTCCTTTCAGGCCCCGGTGCCCATCGATAACCCTCGGTACTGACGCGTCTCTTCTGGGGTGGGGAGCGGTATGCTCCGGCCTATATACCCAGGGCACATGGACTCATCAGAAATCCACGAATCATATCAACTTCCTGGAGCTGTTGGCAGTATTCAAAGCCCTACGTTCTTTCGAGGATGTTCTCCAACATCGGGTCATTCAGATAACGTCGGACAACATAGCCACCATCTTTTATCTGAACAAACAAGGTGGAACAAATTCCCTGACTCTGGCCAGACTTTCTATGCAGATTTGGGACTGGTGCATTTCGAGAGACATTACACTAATGGCAGTCCATTCGGCTGGTACGGACAATGTGGAAGCGAACCTCCTCAGCAGGCGCATGTTCATCTCTCACGAATGGGAGCTAGATCCTCAGACACACAACAATTTTTTTCATTGCTGGGGGTTCCCCGACGTGAACTTGTTTGCCACCCAACAGAACAAGGTGTGCGACGCTTTCTGTTCGAGAGCGAGAATCGGGTATGGATCCCTAGGGGACGCCTTCATGATCCCATGGAACAACCTGAACTTTTACGCCTTCCTGCCGATTCCTCTTGTGATGAGAGTAATAGTGAAGATAGTATACGATCGGGCCTTGGGGATACTAATTACCCCTTGGTGGCCACGCCAACATAGGTTTGCCACACTGCTCGACATCTCTCACGGGGAATACCTTCATCTTCCACTGCTTCCATACCTCATAACCCAACAGGATGGCACGCTTCGCCATCCAGATGTACTATTGTTGAACCTAACAGCGTGGCGAATCCGTTAGCTAACTTTGCTGCTTCTGTATCGACGGCAACTTCAAGTGGTTCGAATCCTGCCTTCAAATCCGCTGCATTCAGGGCCTTCAAATCCACTGGGGTCGGCACTGCTTCCTCTTTCAATCCACCAGCACTGTCGGATCCGACGATTGTTCCACCTAATCCGAACCTTGACGTTCGGCGCTGCTTAGTCTTCTACAGATCTAGGACGGAATCTATTCAGCGCTCAAATAGACTTTTTGTTAAATATGCTACCAGAGATCAAGGTGCTCCTGTCATTCCGCAGAGACTTTCTAAGTGGATAGTCCATCCTATCACTTTATCTTATCAATTGGCTAAGATTGACTTACCCACAGCTCCTCGAAGCCATTCGACTAGGGCTGTTGCTGCCTCATCTGCCTTCGCATCGGGAGTCCTGATTGACGATGTATGTCGAGCTGCTACTTGGGCGAACCCTTGCACTTTCGCCAAACATTATCGTTTAGATGTTTGGGCTCGACAAGATTGCTCCTTGTTCTTTCATCTGTTCTTCGTTGAGGACACCTCCCCTCCTCCATTATGGTAAGCTTGTTAATCTACCCATATGTTTGATGCACAGAGGCCACGATGAAGAACATCAGTTACAGGTAAGCAACCTGCTTTTCTGCAGCAAAGGAATATCACCTGCATATTTATCGTGAGTGCTTCAGGGGAACATTCCTTGGAAAGGCCAGATTTTGTTTTCTTGGTTTTACGCTTGCATGAGGGTTCTTCAGGAAGGCTGCCCCCAGGGCTCCAGATGCTGTGCCACTCTCACAAGCATATGCTGGCAGCCTAAACGTTGAGTCAGAATTCTGAGTGAATTGTCCTTCTTATCCATAGCCCTTTTGACACTGAGAACCTCATTTTCTCTCCTGGATCCACCACCAAGTTTTCTGTGGGGAGCAGAAAAAACTCCATATACAGCTGGACTCCACCAAACACTCCCAGCTTCCGAGAAAAATATTATCTTGTAAGTATTATTAATTTACAGGCTGTAGTGTTATCTGTTGTGAAATGGGTGCTATTTGGAACCTAAATTTGAAGTATTTCAGATGTTCTCAACCTGGTTTCCTCCAGTGTTGGACCACAACTTTAAGGGTGCTGGGCTGGGAGAACACTGCCACCTCATGTTAGTTCCTTATTACTGGATCGAAATGTCTAAGGGTGCAATTCAGTCCGGATGCATGTAACCCTCAGATGTTGGGGGCTTATGGGCATGCTGCATGCAGGGCAGAAGGAATGCAGAGACAAGGACTGTCTTTGTCCCCCCAGGCAAAATGATCATACAGCCAATTGTGACTAAGAGTTGTACCTCAGAATATGAGGGAAAAGATGCTGAGATGCTGCCATGATACTTCACGGAGTGCTGCTGCCACCAGTCTCCTCCTCTCCCCCTTGAACTCCATCTCCAAGGTTGCATGTGCAGCCTCAGGGTCACAGTCAGCATGGTTTTTTCCATGCCAGTTGTGAGGGCAGGACAGTGATTTAAGCATATAAGCCTAGCTATGGCTTTGTAACCACATCTCCAAAACAACCTGTGGCCACGTAGACAGCATCCAGCAGCCATAAAATTGCACTGCCATGAAGGAAATCCAAACAGTTGCATTCAGTACATAGAATGCTAAAGCACTGGTTTAACCTCATGTAATGTCATTTCGTTGAAAAGCCCTTTGTAAGTGATCAGACCTCTGGTAGGAGTCACCAGCCACTCCTCTAACAGGGAGGGGAAGAGAGAAAGGAATGTGTGTGAGAGAGACGGGGAGGATGCTGTAGGAAAAAAAGAGCCCATGATGTTCCTTTCCTGGGCAGCATCCCCAAATGAGTAGTGAGAGTAGCAAGGAAACAACATCTGACAACCTTTGTTCAGTCTTCTATTTGCAACTCCATGCGGGGGCGTCTAGGGTAAACTGGGGCCTATCACATGGTGGCCCACCATAACATATTTGCTGGCACTTTCAGGACGTAATATTTTGCATCAGCCTGGACTTAGGCTCCAGCATTATACCAGTCGAATGAGGCCAGGTATCCAGGGCACAGCCCGATCCAGTTTTCTTAACTGTGTTTCAGTTGGTACAGCTTGAGGAGTTGACAAGGTGCTTGGACAGGTTCATACAACCACTTCTGTACTAGATCCTTGGGACAGGGAAGGAAGGAATGCAAGAGGGAGGGGTTCCATGTCACCTGAAGGAAATGGCTGTGAGACTACACCTGAGACTACACCTTCGTAAGACCTAGAAGAACTCAACAACTTTAGGCCAGTGCCAAATGTAGCTTTACTGGGCAAGATCCCTTAATGGGTGATGGCCAACCAGCTCCAGGGACTCCTGCAAGTCCCATCCAGCTGGAGGAATTAGAATACCAGGTTTTCCAGACTGATTATCTGAACCCATGGACTAGGTTTTTGCTGTCACTCTGTATGATATTCTACACTGGGAGAGAGGGGGAGTGTGACCTTGCTAATCCTCCTGTGTCTCTCTGAAGCACCCTTGGCTTCTGGGGTGACTGTACATGCACTGCAGTGGTCCCACTCCTACTTTGATGGCCAGCTTTGGAAGGTGGTGCTTGAGGAATATTGTTTGGCCCCATGGATTCCCCAGTATGTGGTTCCTCAGAGGTTGGGTTGACCCCCATGTTATTCAACATTTGCAGAAAGCCACTGAGTGGGGTCATCCAGAGTTTTGAAGTGTGCTGACTCTTCATGCGGATGACACAAAGTGCTCTCTCTCCTTTCCAACACCAGCATCCGAGACCTTCCTCAAAGTGTGTTGGCAACAAAGAGGAAGGTGTTCTCAGTGACCACCCTTGACTGTGGAAAGAGCTCCCCCATGTGGCCTGCCTGGCTCCAGCTCTGCCTCTTTTTGGCACTATGTTAAGACAGACTTCTAGGCTGAGGCAACAAAAGACATCAAGACCATTTAATGGCTTGATGGGGGTGTTTCCAACAGGCCTGCTCTGCATTAGATATTGTTCAAGCTGTTGAAATATTTTTTAAAATGCTGTTACATTCTTTTATTATTTCAGATATTGGAAAAATGAATGGTGCTTCATTGTATTATACACCTGTTTTCTGTAAAGCGCCTAGAGAGCTTTGGCTAATGGGTAGCATAGTAATGAGAAGAGGATGACAGTGATGAGGAAGGCTGCCTTAGAGAATTAAAAATGAAAATCTAGCATGGGATGGGGAGGGCAAGGGAGGAAGGAAAGGGAATTGCCAAGAACAATATGCAATTGCATAAAGGAGAAGAAAAACGGTACAGCTAAAACTATCCTGGTATCTAGGGCTTCAGCTTATAATCAGTGGAAGGCATTATACACATAAATGTGGTGGTCCTTTTCTCCCTGTCTGTGTTTGCCTCAGTCTGCCTTGAAACAAAGAAGAAGACAAGCAGGTATCCAGGATGAGGCCAAGGATCCCTGCATTTTGAGCTACCTGGCTGACTGTGATTTTAACATGAGTCTGAGTCTGAGGAGTGCAAGCCAGAGCCTTATCAAGTCATCAGAAGGCAGCTTGTTCAGTTATGAGGATCAGAAAGGAGCTGAAAGCAGAAACGCAACTCCCCCTTCACTTCCAAGGGCAGTACCATTGGCTCTTCTACAGGGTGGTGGTGTGAATGGAGAGCCGAAAGACGAGCACTTGCTCTGCCAGCCTCTTAGCCACAGGACTCTAGACATCTTGCAAGAGACACCCCATGCTGACCCAGCTGTGAGCATCCCGTCGTGTCTGTTAGATCAGGAGAAAGGTGAAAGAAAATCCATGGCACAGGACTGGAACCATTCTTCAGCACACCGGAGAAAAGTCCTCTCCGCTGGCCAGCGAGGCTGGAAAGATGATGTTGATGCCAATGCGGATGGAAATACCAGATCGATCGAGACAATCCTGCAAGAAGTGTTACATTTACTGAAATTGCAGCACCCAAGTCCCATCCAGCTGGAGGAATTAGAATACCAGGTTTTCTGTATCCGAGGCAAATTAAAGGTACAAATTTGTTGCAGCCTTCACTTCTTCCTACTCACTGTTTTCCTTCTTAGATTCTGGAAGATCAAAGACTCCAAGCATGTTTTCACAGATACATGGATTATGTCCAGACCAGGTGGAAAGAGAGAAATAGTCTTTTAAAGGCAAACAAATTTATCACAGCTTGAGGTTTCATAGGCAATTCCAGCTTCATTGGTTGTATCAAGTGGTACACACTCATATAAATGGATCCAGTGGGAAATGCTACTGCTATGCAAAATCAGACTGGAAATGTTTGATTGTATACTAAAAGGAAAATCATACATGAGTCCATGATGAAACCAAGAATTACTCCCAATGGAGTGAGGTCCAGAGCTACCCAATAATTGGGATTTCATGATGATGCATACGTTTTTTGCTTTATTTATTCTTGCATTTATATCCTGTCCTTTCCCCTCTTGCAAGGCACCCCAAATAGCCTTAGTCCTTAGCACACATAAAGGTCAATACTTCCACTGAAAAAGTCATGCCTCTGTGCTTGCCTATGAAAGCTCCTGATGCAATAAATGTGTTAGTCTTTAAGACAGGATTATGAAGTGGGAGAGATCTCAAAGGTCATCCAGCTCAACCCAGCTTTAGAAGGAGATCAGTCAGAATGAAGCTATCAGTGGCTACTAGTCATGATGACTTTATATTGCTTCCAGTCTTAGAGGAAGTATACCTTTCTGTTCCTGTTTCTGTCTCTGGGAATCATGAGAAGAAGGGTGTAGGTACACATTCATTTTGTGAGAGATGCATTGCATGTTCAGATAGGAAAACATCCTACAATTCCTAGTATTCCATCAGCTGAGAGTTGTAGGACTTTCTTCTGTGCCTTGGAGTTTTTCCTTCCTTGTTGGTTTGTTCTGTGCACTCATAATTTCTAGGTCACCATTTGAGGCAGAAGCCCTCCCAAAGCTTCTGTGTCCTGCTGTGACCTGGGGCACCTGGTGGCCACCAGGGGACAGAATTCTGCACTGGATATGCCTTTGGTCTGATCCAGCAGTGCTTCTTATATTCTCATGTTGATGGCTTTTAATAGTCTTCTTTCATGTTCATGTTATTGATTTTTCTCATTATTTTTGAACTACTGCATTTGTACTGAACTGCATTTATTAAACTGTGGATTGTTCTTACATTACTGATAAGTTATGTTTTGGAAATTCTGAGGTTAAACATTTGGAATAAAATGTTATTTATATTTTTAAGAACGCCTTGCAATGAGCTGCTTTACGCTCAGCCTTTGTTGCTGGAAAAGTAATATGAAAATATTAAATTGAGGCAAACAGAGGAAATAGATTAAACCGTCTTCCTGTGTATTATATCCTGTTCTGAATGACACACTTTGCAGCCCCTATTGAAAAACCATGACTGATTTCAGAAACATGGAAACAGAGCGAGTCAGAAGGGGCCTCCTGGGCCATCTAGTCTGACTTCCCAGCTCCAGCCGGCTCTGCTCATGACATGCCTACCATTATATTAATGACTCTCCCACATCTTATTATGTCTCAGTTCATTTAAGATATGTAGGGCTCAGTCCAAGTCCAGACATAACAAGCACATCTTCTGCTTCATCTCAGTTGCAGTTAGGAAGATTGGGCTGCAACTTCGACTTGGTTTGCACAAACAACGCACGGGTTGTTTAACACAGAAATTGCTGGAGATGAATGCAGCAGCGGGTGTCCTGCTTCTGTGCACTCATAATTTCCACTTCCAGTGAACAACCTGGGAATGCGCTGTTCTTCATTCGCAAACCTGGACACTCTGGACTGTTCATGGATTAAACAAGCCAGAGTTACCCCGACAACTGTCCATGTAATTGAAACCGAAAATGCTGAGCATGTGGGAGGAAACACTTTTGTTGCTTGGTTCATCCTAGCAGACCCTGAGCTAATCCTGAGATTGCAGCCTGACATATGAACCTGCCCCTAGTGATGATTGGCATGTGTGAAATAGCTAACTGAGTAGCAACCACAGAAAAAGCATGGTACAATTACATCCTGATTCTGAGCTCAATGGAAAACAGAGTAATTTTTTCTGCTTCTGAAATGTCTGGTGATATAATTGCTTTTGATAACACTAGATCCATCTGGATGAAAGGAGTTTCTGTTTACAAGAAAACATAGCTTATTTTGTGTTACTGACAGCCCAAAAAATACCATCCGAAACATTCCTCTGTGGAAAGCTTGATGGTGGAGACAGTGCTGGAAAGTTTCAACTTCCTCAATGCTGACTGCAGTGCTGATGAACTCTCATCCATCGGGAGTGTAAGGACACGTAGTATCAGGTAGGGCATCCCATATAAACTGGTGGATTACTGGCAGTCAATGATCTCGCATCGTCCACTTCCCCAGCTCTGCTGCCCTGCCCCTGCTCTCCTGCAAAGTCACAGGATACTGACAGCTCTGATTATCAGATGCTATGAGAAAGGAGAACGGTCATCCAGCAGGGCTGGGTGAACAGGCCCGTGTGTAGTGCTGGTGACTTCAGTCCCTCAACCAGCCATGTCTGACTATTCTTCTAGAATTATGGATTGCTGCTTTTTAACTAAGAAGTGGTTAGACAGATTAAAGGAAGATTGGGTTGTTGACAGTCGTTTACTGCAATTGCTGTGGTTCATGTTCAGAGGAAGCGTGCTGCTGTTCACTGTTCCCTGAAGCAGCAATGGCAGGTCATACCTGTTGTCTTCCAGCCCTGCTTGTGGGTCTCTTGGAAGCATCTTGTTGGCCAGTGAAGGACACTGGATGCTGGGTTTGATGGACCTTTGGGCTGATCCAGCAGGGCTCTTCTGAGGCTCCCATCTTGTGCTCCTTGTCTAGGTTTCCTCGAAGTTCCTGAACCAGCACAGTAAACCTGATCCCCCATCCAAATGCAAAGGGACTCAGTGACTGCATTCCTTATTGGAATCTAAATAAACCGGGAGCTTGATCCCCACATGGCACTCTGATTTGCTTTTAATCTATTATTTATTTACTTTTCCCCTCTTGTCATTAGCACCAGCACCTACAATGATGCCACACTTCCATCCCTGTGCTATGAAACCAAAGCAGAAAAGAAAGAGTTAACCACAGGCAGTGATGACCTAGATACACTTCTGGAAGTTCATCTGCAGCTCTGCAGAGTTCTTCTACAGGTGGGAAATTGCGTTTAACTGGCCTTCTTTTTTAGTAAGAGTCTTATTACTATGTTTAGTCCCACAGAATGAAAGACCGAGGGTCTAGTGATTCCCGAAGCACATTCTGCAGCCATTTGAATCATTCTAGGTTCTTTGTCATGATCCAGTACCTAAGAATTTAAGAAGAGCCTTGCTAGAGTAGATCAAGGGTCTGTCTAGTTCCACAGTGATCAACCAGAGGCCTCTGGGAAACCCACACGCAGAACACGAGAGCTTTAACTTTTCCCTGCTTGCCTTGGGAATTCAAATTTCTTGTGTCTTGCTTCCTTGGCACTGTGTGCCCACACATGATGCTTCCATTGTGCATGGGCGCACCAGGCACACACATGGACAGTGTGCACACGTGCACACACATTAATTAATTGGTAGGCACTTCTGCTCCTTTATCTGGCAGTGATGGGGCAGAGACGCCAAAGCAAGCTGAGCCAGTGATTTCAGGCTAGCTGGAAATTCTGCACTTCTCTTTTGAACATATGCAGCTGCCTTAATCATGTCACTGGCCTCTGATTGTCAGCAGCTCTTGAATGTTTTGGGCATTTGCTACTTGTTTTATTAACTGGAAGAGCCTTCTGCACCTCCAGACATTTTGAACTATTCCCGACTGCAGACCATTCTGGCTGAAGTTGATGGGAATTGTAATTCAAAACATTTAGAGGGCAGCAGGTTGGAAAAGGTTCTGGGGCTTGAACTCGGGGCCTCCTGAACACAAAGCGTGTGCCGCTCCACTGGGCTGTGGATATCCCCTCTCTTGTTTGTGATAAGATTACAGTGGCTTACATTTTGGGTATTCAAATCTTTAAAGCTTTTGCACTGTTAAAGTAGGCCACTGTTCCCCTCTGCTGGAAAAAATGGCAGCAACTGATCTTCTTTTAAAATTGTTTCCCTAATATATGTATACCAGAGTATTCAAATTAGAACATTATTTTCCTTGAATTCTTAAAGTCAAGAAATCTTAAAGGTCACTTCCAGAAGTTGGCTTTGCTAGAGATGTGAGTGCCACATGCAGCGGTGAGAAAAGAACTTCCGAGGAACAATACTTGTTAACTAAGGGATTTGAAATGACTGTTTCTTATGCCTTCCAGAAGAGTGGTTCTATCAGTTTGTAGCATCAAAACCAATAAAGAGTTTTGTGGCACCTTAAAGACTAAGCAACCTATTCTGGTATGTGCTTTTATGGACACTATCCACTTCATCAAATGTAATAGAGGAAGTGGACATTGTCCACAAAAGCTTCAGCCAAAATAAATTTGTTAGTCTTTCTGGTGCTGTAAGACTTTGTTGGTTTTGATGATGGTGATGTGCCATCATAATTTCCAAAAAGTTTCCCAAAACTAAAACTCATTAAATATCTGCAATTATCTAGGTTAGCCTTTCCTGGTATGGTGCAGCTAGGTCTGTAGTCCAACAGACCTGGAGGGTACTTCCTTTCTTCCTGCTTTTTGCCATCTCAGATCATGTATCTCAGTAAGTTTCTCCTGCTGTTCTAGTCCCATTGGTTACATTCAGTAGTGCATGTGACCTTAGCAGTTCCTGTTCCTTTCTCCATGCTGATTCTGCTCATACAGTAAGAGCAATCAGTGAAGGAAGACCACAATTGACATCCTTTTGGTGGGAATCAAGACCGCTGAGTCAGTATGCTGGTTAACCCTGGAAACACCACAATCCTCAGAAGAGGCCAGTTTCTGGAAGAAGCATAATGTTTAGACTCCTGAAGGTTCTATTCATGCTTCTTCATTATCTGAATAGGAGCCTCTCAGCATATTTTCAGTAATTTCAGCTAGAGTCTTGAGTCATGGTACAACTGCAGAAGTTACTTCTTGTGGATTGGTATTTGAAGAAAGTAGACATCAGAAGCTAGTTCTTACATTGGAGGCTTCTAAACAATGGTATCTTCCACTGATTTTCTTTAAAATTATTGAATTGGTTATGTTGTTGTTTTATTGATGGTTTTATTGTGTAAACTATCCAGAGATCCATGGGGCTATGGTGACGGTATACAAAAGCAATATAAAATACAAACAAACTTATCTCCCAAGGGTCTCTATTGGAATAATGCTTTTAACTTGTTCATAAATGAGCTGGGGTTAGAATGGAGCAGTGTGCTGGCCAAGGTTGCCAAGACCAGCTCACTGTACAGGCAGTTGAAACAAAAAGGGTTGAGAACGAGTGCCAGAGAGCCAGGGTAGTACAGTGGGTAGTGTGTTGGAGTGGGAGATCTCAGTTCTAGTCCCCAACTGGCCACAAAGCTCATGGGTTACTTTGGGCCATTCAAGCACTCTCAACCTAACTTACCTCACAGGGTTGTTGTGTGGATAAAACGGCCCACATCTCTGCCAGGTCTCTCCCATGCAACTCTGGTACTCCCTGATCAGGTCTGTCCCTGGTTTCGGGTCACAGAGATCAAAACCAGGACCTTGAATTGCTACTTTAGATAGCCTTCCCAACATGGTGTTCTCCAGATGCGGGATGGGAGTGCTGCAAGTTGTAGTCTAATATATGTGTAGAGTACCAGATTGCGGAAGGCTGTTTTAGACAAGATTCACTGTTCATCTTAGAGCCATTTGACATTCATTTTCCACTCCCTTGTTAAAACGTTCCTGTTCTTCATTCATTTACTTTGCTGGGCAGATGATGTTTATGTGGTCTACCCTCATTTTAGAATGTTTTAATCTGGCGATTTGTTTCTTTGCTTGTCTTCAATTGTTTTAAGCTGGCCTGAGCAATGCCAAGGCAGGGTGAATGGTTTTTGAAATAAATAAACAGGTAAATATGGACAATGGAGCTTCCCCCATCACAACCTTGCGGGCACCATCATATGTAAGGTTACATTTGTGGAAAGGAGCATGTCGTATGAACCTAGGCTGATGTGGAACCTTATCATGAAGTGCTCCGTATTTTGGGCAGAGTCTGTGCATTCAGAGCACTGTGCCTTTTACAGATATGCTCCAATGCATGGCAGAGCCAGTGGAGTGGACATCCATAGGGCTGGCCATCACATGGGATGCCCCAGTAGAGCTATGATGGCTAACCTGTTTGGCAGCTGCAACCAATTGTTGGCAAGTGCCTTTTTTGCACATTTTCAAAAAAGTCTTGTTGCCAATTTCCAGATCCGTGTGATTTGCTGCTGCAGCCATAAGCCCCTTGGGGTCGTGCTTGCATGGGGAACCATCATATTTGAACCTGAGCAGCCGGTTCAAAAGCATCAGCTCTGTGCATGTCTCCCTGTGCTCCCTGATGTGGCAGCTGCTTATCAGCATGGGATAGAGCAACAGGAGCAATTTCTTATTCAGAGTTCGCAGAGTGCAATCAACCCTCAGCTGTTGGGTTGTATTTGACTGTGTGAGACTATCAGAGAGATGGGAGGCAGGTGTTCTCACTCATGTTCCTGGAGAACATTTGGATCAAGTCCAGCTGAATTTGGCTGCTGGCTTGCTTAATCTAAGACACTGAACAGAAGTGTTCTCTCCTGCTTTGTTTCTAGAAACTTGTCACACCAAACTTAGCTCCCATTGTCCAGGAGAACCTTTTGGAAGATTTGTCACAGCAGAAACATGTTCTGGAAATCATCTCTGCTCTGGCTGCTCCTGTGCCACGGAACTTAACTTCTGTCGAAGAGAGTAAGTTATGTGATGTCCAAAATCAGAAATAATGAACAAACCCTAACAGCCATCTGATCCATTCCCTAGAATGCCCTACCTCAACCCCATACAGACCGATCCACTCATCCAAGCTATGGAGTTCCAGAAAAAGTTCAATTTCTGCCCTCTTGTGAGTCGGAATTTTCAATTTTTGTATGACAACCAAACATGTCCATGAGAAGGCAATATGTCTGATGCAGACTTATTATTTATTTATTTGCAAAAATTTGTATGCCGTCCAATTACGTGCCTCTCTGGATGGCTTACAACATAGATAAATTGACAATCCACTCTGGCTGCAAATTAATAAAATACAACAATAAAATTCAGTATTAAAACATATTAAAATATTGATTAAATAAAAAGGTCTTGACCTGGCACCGAAAAACATACAATGACGGCACCAGGCGGGCCTCTTTGGGGAGAGCATTCCATAGTCGGGGCGCCACTACAGAGAAGGCCCTCCTCCGGGTACTCTGTCTTCTAAGCTCTTTCACAGATGGTTCCCGGAGGAGGGCTTCTGTTGCTGATCTCAGGGGGTGGGAGGGCAAATAGGGAAAAAGGTGTTCCTTAAGGTATCTAGGTCCCAAGCCGTTTGGGGCTTTATAGGTAATAACCAGCACCTTGAATTGAGCCCGGACTTCGATGGGAAGCCAGTGAAGCTGGTAGAGGACTGGGGTTATATGAGAATAATGCCCAGTCCCCGACAGCAACCTGGCTGCTCTATTTTGCACCATCTGAAGTATCCGGACTATCTTCAAGGGCGACTGTGAATGGTGGAGATCCATTTGGAAGAGCTGGGCAGGCTAATTAGGACAATCGCAGCCACCACACCCCTTCTGATAGCTTGCACTTTGTGTCCCCATAGGTATAAGAAGTATTTGAGTTCGTTAAAGCCTGAAGCTAGCTTATGTTTGGGGGCCATGTGGCTTGTACACTCACAGACGTTTTCATAACAAGCAGATTCAGGAAAGGGGTGTGTCGGTTGGTTTTCCTGTTGTCTGGCAAAACTCCTGAAGAGTGTTTCCTTTCTTCCTTTGTCATACAGTCATCTGAATCTTTGTCTCACAAGAAGGCAGGGGGTGATCCTGACGTCTTGGATCAGGTTCCTACTGAGATGAGTGCGATGCTAGTGGAATAATTTGGCAACACATTCACCCGTCTATACTTTTCTGTCGAGCTGTGCATGCATTTGCATGTCTACAGAATTGCATTGGCTCATCTCAGGCACACCATCTGGCATTTCACTTTCAGCCAAAAATGAGTTCCAGCTCCTTTGCTGACATTCAAAATCTACCCTTTGCAGTTATTCAAAAAGCTAAAAAACAGAAGCATTGCCTGAAGATCTGGAGTGAGTGCACTGAGCAGGGAAGCATTTTATTCTGTCCAGTGGAAAGATTTTGGAACCCTTTGAAATACATATTGATGTTCAAAAGCAAAGAGAAATATCAAGGACACCTAGAAAAAGGTACTTTTCTTTATCTGGCACCCAGGAATTGGGGTTGGGTTTTGCATGAGAGTGTCCCACTTGAGCTACCAGAGCTCCTAATCAAAAGGCACCATGTTTTGGGGGGCCCTTGAGCAGGACGCCCTCAACAAGGCTGAGCCATGGTCACCAGCAGTCCTTGCTCATCCTCTTGCTCATGATTGCTGCCACTTATTATTTATTTATTTTTGCATTTATATGCCACCCCGTACTCCTGATGGAGTCTCTTGTTTTCCTGATGGGCAAAGAACCACTGAGCAAGAAGGCAGAGCCATGTGCTGCGGCTCTTCCTCGCTATCACTGTTGTACTGGGCAGTGGGAGTACAGCTGTGAAGAGGAGCAGAAATTCCAGAGGGCTGCTGTCAATGAGCCCCTGCTTCGGTGTGGGCTCTCAGCAGGTGCCCGAGCATGCCTACTCTTATTGTGCTTCTATTCTGCCTTTTCCTCCTTAATTGTTTTTTTTCCTGGTAAGAAAAAAGATGAAAAGGGTGAAGGGAAAGTACAGGAGAGCTTAACCCCTTTAAAATGAGGGTAAGGCTATGGCACAATAAAAGCTTAGCTTTGGAAAACCCCAAAGGAAGTAAAGCTTGTTATAGGAATGTCAAAAGTTCTTCAGAAAACAGACCAGCAGATACTGGTTCAGTATGTCGCAACAGCAGTACCTAGCAACTACCTAATCCAGGAGTTACGGGGATGGGCAGAGTGTGTGGGCCGTGCCCATTTCCACTTTTAATTAGCATAGCTTATTTCATGACACACAAACCTAGAGCCTCTTGACTTGTTTATTGGTTAACCAGTCCAGAGTAAGCCCCAGACTGCCCATTTGTGTTGTTCAGAGTTTGGAACTTCTGGCCATCTGCTTCCACGGGGAAACCCACCACCATGCAGTAGTTACTGCAGTCATAGGAACTGCAGAATTAACAACTGTCCAGCATTTATATTCTGCCCTTAAGGAGTTCGAAACCCCTTGCGTGTATCATCCCAGTGATCCTGACAGTAATCAGGCAAGAGAGATCAGTATTTCTCTCTTCCATACTGCAGATGGAGACACTGAGCTGAGAGTGGGTTTTGCCCAGGGCCACTTTGCCAGTTCATGGCAGAGAGGACATTTGAACCCAGGGCTTCAGATTCACAGCTCCTACCCACTCCTCCCTAGTGCTGCGTGCAGCACAGCCTAAAGGTGCCAGCTCCTGGCTGCTCCTCAGGATTATCCATTCATTCCAATGGAACTCCTTTGCAAACAGCCAGCTGGCCACCCAGTACCATGACTGAACGGTTTTCTAGCAGCTGGGATAGGATGTTGTCCTAGACAGATAAATAGAAGGGCTTTAGTACTTTATTATCAAGTTGTTATTATTTCTGTTATCATGGAGTGCCTCTTTACATTGTGGGATTCCCTGGTTTATTATTTATTATTTTTTTAATCCCTCCCCTTTATCCTAAATGGTTGCAAACGGAGTGATGGGTGATTGTTTGGTACACAATTTGGTATCCTGAAAATGTCAGCTCCTTTTTGTCTTAGAAGCAAATGTTTAGGATTGTAAGCTTGGAATTGTTTAGGCTGTATTAGTGAAAGATGTAAGATTGGGCTGAAGGCTCTAAGTCAGATGTGCAAAGGGCATGCATTGCATGCCAGAGGTCCCAGGGTTAATTCTTGGTATCCACAGTAGTTGCAAGAAACAGGGGAAGGAAAGGCCTGTGTCTGAAAGCCTGGAGAACCAGGGCCCATCAGGGCCAGGCGAGGCAAGATATCAACCCTGCAGTCAGCAATTGCATGAATGGATCTTGCAAAATCTTTTACAGACATGGGGGCGTTGTGAGGTTAAAATGGAGATGAGGAGGAAGATGACGTAAATCGCCCTGGATTCCTTGCAGGAAAAAGGCTGGATAGAAATATAATGAATAAATACCAAAAATAACAGAACTTCTGCAGTTTAGATAGAACTGCTTGCCTTACATAAATTTGCGTAATGACAAATTCAGCTAAAGCTAAAGCCAAATGAGGTAGCGGTATAGTGGCTGGGAAAGTCTATGGATTTGGGTAGAGGTACATAACCAGTGCTGGAAAGAGCATTGCAGGTGGTGCCCCTTGCCGTGGAGCGCCTAGGAGTGCCTTTTATTGAGCAGCTGAGACCTTCTAGAGGAGACAGATCTTGCCACAGATGTACCCGCACCAGTTACATCAAGGCTAGACTACTGCCGTGCGCTGTATGTGAGACTGCCTTTGAAGGCAGTTTGGAAGCTCCGGTTGGAAGTTCATGCCCTATTTTCAATCAGCTGCTTCAATTACCAGTTTGTTTCCAGGCCCAATTTAAAGTGTAAGGGGTTAAGTTTAAGGCCCTACATGACTCAGGACCAAGTTACTTGAAGAACTGCCTGCACGAGTCCACCCCTAACAGCCCCCATGAAGTGGGAGGTTGGTTACTTTTGGTAGTGGCTGCATGCCTCTGGCATTCTCTTCCTAGGCAGATTCTCATATTGGTGTCATTTCAATGGGCGTTGAGGACTTATTTATTCCATGCTGCTATTAATTACATTAAATTGATTTAATTACTGTTTTAACGGTTGTGCCAGTATTTTTTCACATTATATTTTTCATCAATGTATTTTTTTTACCTTGCTGAACTTTTTCTGAGCTGCTGTTATAGCAGTGTTCACTGTGTTGGGGTGCAGTTCTGTGGGGATGCCCAGCACCCTCTGAGCTCAGGGGTGGAAGGAGTGCGTAGGTGAAGGTGGCTCTTGTTCCAGATGGAGAGCATCTTGCGAGGGACAGAGGCTGATGTGCTGCCAGGATACCTTCCAGCTCAGTGGCCAACGCGCCTCTCCTTCCCGCCCTCCAGACTATCAGTGGAACACTATGGTTCTCTGGGGCTGCACTGGAGAAGCAGCCATGCAGGTCTTTGCACTGGCTATGGGGCGGGCGTGTGCTCTAGCACGGAGTTCCTTCTTCAGCACTGGAGCTGGGGCTCTGAAAAATCTTATGGTCCTCAGATGCTCTCAAGGAGCCACCGGGTAACTGCTCATGTCCTTCAGTATATGCACTTGTGAGAAATTCTGCATTCTCCTTCAGTTTTACAGATGTTCCTGCAGCATTTAGTGGGAGGCAGCCTCTTATTCCTCCCACCAGATTTCCCAGTGGAATCAGTGACGTTATTCCAATTTTACAGCTACCTGGAGAAGCACCATGTGAACAACTTGGAAAAATACTTGGCCAGATTTGCTAAAGAAGGTAAATGGATGACTGAAGAGGGAGAGCCCAATTAAGACTTATTCAGGGGCCTGGCAGTCCCTTCCCACTTCGGGTGCTTCCCAAGAATGTCATCAGCACATCTTGTGTTGACAGGAGAGATACAGATATTTGATAGCAATGCAGCCCAATGCCTGCTCCCCGTACTGTATGGATCTTCAGAAGAAAGGGACCTTGGGGTGCTGGTTGACTGCAGGCTAAACGTGAGTCAGCAGTGTGATGCAGTGGTCAAGAGGGCGAACGCCGCCCTTGGTTGCATAGCCAGAAATGTGGCTTCTAGATTGAGAGAGGTAATACTACCACTCTATATGACTTTGGTGTGCCCACAACTGGAGTATTGTGCTCAGTTCTGGGCCCCTCATTACAGAAAGGATATAGCCAGGTTGGAGTCAGTGCAGCGTAGGGCCACAAGGTTGGTGGACAGTTTGCAGGGGATGCCTTATGAGGCAAGACTGAGGGAACTGGGTCTCTTCAGCCTGGAGAAGAGGAGACTCAGAGGGGATATGTTGGCATCATACAGGTATGTGAGGGGGTGTCACATGGAGATGGGTAGAGACCTGTTCTCCCCTGCAGAGGAAGGCAGGACGCGCTCCAATGGAGCAAAGCTCAGGGAGCCAAGATTCCATTTGGATGCCAGGAAGCACTTCCTGACAGTCAGGACCCCGAGGGTGTGGAATGGGCTTCCACAGGAGGTCGTCGAGGCCCCATCGGTGCGGGTGTTCAAGGATAGGCTAGACATGCACTTGGTGGGCATGTCGTGAGCGGAACCAGCTGGAGCTGGGGGGTCAGACTAGATGGCCCGGGAGACCCCTTTTGACTCACTCTGTTTCTATGTAAGAACCACACTGCATCAGATCAAGGGTCCATTTAGACAAGCATTCTGTGCACAGCAGTTGCCCGTTGAAACCCACAAGCAGTTCAGGGGTACCATAGCAACCTCCTGCCTGTGTTCCCCAGCAACTGGCACATAGGCATATTCATCCTGCTATTGAAGGCAGCAGTAGTAATAACCACTGGTAGTCTTCTCTACCATGAATTTATCCAATCCCCTTTTCAAGTCATCCAGATGGGTGGCCATCACTACATCCTATGGAAGTAAATTCCACTGTGCATTGTGCATAGAAATAGGCTGGGTTCATGGAATGGCCCTGGTTTCTGGTACCATGGGAGAGGAGAAAAAATGTCTCCCTGTTCACTTTCTTTACACCTTGCACAATTTTGTACGCCTCTGTTATGTCTCCTCTTATTTGTCTTTTTTTCTGGGCCAAACAATCCCAGCTGTTGTTCCCATTCCTCTCGGGCGGGGGGGGGGGGGTCACTCCACTCCCTTGCTCCTTTTAGTTGCCCCTTTCTGTACTTTTTAAAACCCTACAATCTCCTTTTTAGGCCTGATGACCAGACTTATACACAGTATTCTAAGTGTGGTTGCACTATAGATTTGTATAAGGGCTATGATATTGCCCTTGGCATTTTTATTTTCAATTCCTTTCAGGATTATGCCCAACACAGACATTTTTGAGGTTAAATGTGAATGTTTTGTATTCCTTTCTCATATTATTAAAAATGGTTGGCAGTCTTTCTGCAGAACGGAATCTGTTCTCAAGGCAAACAGGCCCACAAGCATGTGGCACCCTCAAACAGCTGCTGGGGCAGCTGCCAGGGGAACCCAGCACCCCGAAAGTTTCCTGTGATGATGCCTGCCCCCCCACACCTTCATTTTCCCCCCTCCAGGACTCTGATTAGCACCAGGCTGAAGCTGGATTTTTCAGCAACAGATATTTATTTAATTCATTTTTATACCACCCGATAGCTGCGGCTCTCTGGGCAGTAGTTAAAAACACACAAAGAACAGAAATTAAACAAAAATTCTTCCATTTATGGTTGAAATCCTTCTCCATCAGTGATACTAATTGAAGAACTGCAGCGTCCTGGAAGAATGAAGAAAATAAAGAAACTGAAAGGGAAGCAGCTAAACCAGCTACAACCCCTGCCACAGACCTTAAAGCTCCTTGCAGTCCTGCAGTTTGATGAAAATCACCGTGTAGGCAGAGTGGCCAGATCCTGTCTCTCTCGTGCAGCAGCCAATAGGAATTTCAGGGAAAAGGTACTAACTTTCCCCTTCCAGTAGCACTTCCTTATTTAAAGCACCCAGGAAATATATGTAGATATGGGAATGGTCCATTGCTCAAAGGGAACCCATTCTTTGGTTTGAACCCTAGTTCAGAATGTCCCTATTTCAGTCCCTGGGTTCTCGGAGTTAAAAAGATAATTTAGTGGGAGATGCGAACAACTGGTGCCTGCTGTTTTAAACAGCTGATGCTGCACAGTGTTGTCAGTAAAAGGTAGGTGTGTAAATTAAGACATCAAGGAGAAAAAATAAATACGAAAGTGCCTGATTCGTATTGGATTCACATTTAATAATTCCAAATTAACCATAACGAAATAAGATTTCTAAAAAATATTCTTTTGATTTTCTCTTTTGTGTTGGTTTGCATTTGGATTTGGTTTGAATGTAGCTATTTTTTGCTTGGCCTTACTGAAAGTTGGGAAAAGCAATGGTGTTTCATAAGTTGGACAAGTGAGTGCTGAAAGAGATTCTGTTCTCAGTACGGCAGCCATCTCTGCACTGCCCCATTCCAGGGAAGGAGCAATATCTCAATTTATTGTACTAGGGGTGGGTAAACTTACTCTGCCGGACAATGGTTGGAGCAGGGTAGGCTCCTCCATTTCGGGGGCGGGCGGGGGCAGACATTCTTTTCTCCCATGCAGATCAAGCGAGATGGCATCTACAATATGTTTCCAAGCAGGAATTAAATATTGTAATGCACAATTTCTAACTGCAAATGCTCTAAATATGAATTAACTATTTGTTCAAGATAGATAATGATGAAAATAGTTTTTAATTAAATTAAAACAAAAATGTGATTTCTCCCCAGTACACACTCCTAGTAGGTAGGTAGAAAACATGCCACTTTCCATGTTCCAAAAACAAGGCATGTTAATTGGCAGAACATTAGAGTATCTGTGTTAGGGCATTTTGGGAAAAGAAATACTAACCGTGTCACTGAATAGTCTGTTGTCTTTGCAGGCTCTTCTGTTTTACACAGACTTGTTAAGTCATGAGGATGCAAAATTACAGCAAGCTGCATGCCTGGCCCTCAAACATCTCAGGGTGAGTGTTTTGAATTTCATTTTAGAGGACTGTTAGGAGAAGTGACTGTCCCATCACTGTTGTTTCACAGGCAGCCACCAGAGGAGGCCAAAGTCGCAATGGGAACCTGGTGAGGCCACACAGAGAGTCTATTAAGACCAAATGGGGTGTGTCAGAACCAGACGATGCATATGGGACTGGCTATAATAATACATCTGGTTTTTATTACACACACACAGAGCAAATGAATGGGTAGGGGGAATAGGGCCATATCGCAGTGGGGGTTAGTCCCACGGTCCCAGAGATCCCCACCATACCGATCCTAGCATTAGCTATAAAACGAAGTTATTCTATTCGGGCTACTGTAGCAGCAGTGACACCCCCCCCCTGCAAAATATAGTTAGCATTAGCCAAGGAAGCATGTTATCCTCTTTGGACTCCCATAGCAAATTTGAAGGGAAGGACAATATCCATGAGGGAAAGGGTTAACTCTTCCATTGTGATCCCCCCCCCCCACAATAGCTAGTTAAAAAAAAAAAAAACTGTTGTTGGTATGTGCCATCAAGTCATCAAGTTTTATTCAAGGCACCTCCTTGAATAAAGGTCCTCCTAAATCTGCTATTGTGACAGTCCCACTCAGCCCCTGCAAAGTCACGGCTGTGGCTTCCTATGTGGAAGTGATCCATATTTGGCCTTCCTTTTCTTCTTCTGCCTTCGACTTTCCTTAGCACAGTTGTTTTCTCCAGGGAATCTTGCCTTCTTAGGCTGTGCCCAAAGTATGACTACCTCAGTTTTGTCATTTTTGCTTCTAGGGAAACCTCTGGCTTGCTTTGATCTAGGCTCTGCTTGTCTTTCTGTCAGACTAGAGTATTCACAAAGCTTTTCTTGAGCACCCTATTACAAATGCATTCATTTTCTTCCTGTCAGCTTTCCTCACTGTCCAGCTTTTGCACCAGTGAAAACAAAAAATAGATACATTACATCATGTGTGGCAACTTCAAGAGGTTCAGGGACCATTTTCTTGTTCCAAACATCCCCTGCATTGCATGGCTTTATTCACTGATGTACACTGTATTTCTGTCCCACCGGCAAGGAACTCAGAGTGGCTTGTAGAACCCTCCTCTCCATTTTATCCTCACATCACCCCTCTGAGGTAGGTCACACTGAGACTCAGTGACTGGCACAAAGGCATCCGATGAGCTTCGTGGTCCAGCAGGGGCTTGAACCCAGCTCTCCCAGTCCCAGATAAACCTTGGTTCCCCCTCCCCCCAGCTGACCAAAATAGCGCTATGGAGTAAACCAGACCACATTTCGTTCCTGGTGCTTCCATGGGTGGATGTGGAAAGGAGCTTTAGCTGCCTGAAAATCAGTGAGTGCACCTTGATGCTGTAACAGTGAAATTAGAAACTGCCAAAAAGGGAACAGAATGGAGCATGGAGCTCTCCTGTGAAGGGTTCCAGCCAGTTTTATTTGCAGGGCACATCTGTAATACATTGTAAAAGCAGGCGTATAATTTAGTTGGGTTTATGTGGCTCATCTAATGTCCTTCCCTTTACTTCAAGATTGTCTTCAAAATCCAGGTAGGTGCTTATTTGTTAGCACTGCACTTAGTAAGTGCACACATCACTGGCACTATGTAAGTTATGATTATTCGGAGGGGTGAACTTTTGTGTGTGTTTGGTATAGTGAAAGCATCTGCAGCTCTCCAGAGAAACCACCTGTTCATGCCGTTTTATGAGTGAGGATAACTCACTTTGAGAGACACTGGGGACCGGGACCTTCCTGGTGGTGGGATGCATGCGCTCTGCTACCCTTCCAGATCTCCCAAGGTGGGGAATTCATCATGACTCCAGGAAGGCCCAGCCTGCCATAATTTACGGAGCTGTCTTCTCCTCCCAAGGAGTGGCACCAGTCTCTATAAAGTGTGCCACAGGTTAGCCATCTATGGATCAAAGCACTGATGCTAAGAGTGTGGAACAATTTGAAATGTTTAAACAGCTGTTGCTTCAATGATTCTTTTACAAAACAGGGCATTGAAAGTATAGAACAAATTGCCAGACTCTGTCTATCAGAAGTGGAGGAAGTGCGGAACGCTGCCAGAGAAACGACTCTTTCATTTGGTAAATGCTTTAATAGTTCTCTGCTTATGGAAACTGAATGCTAGTTAATGAGCAGAGGCAGAGACTTGCCTCTTTTCTGAGAATGCACTGAAAGAACTTTCCACTGTTTGGACTGCAACTTTGGGCAGAGACGGGCGAGTTGCAGGTCTCAGCACTGATTCCACAAGCTTTGTGAATAAGTGTGCAAAAATGGCCTTAAGGCTGCAATCCTGTGGTTGCTAGATGTGATCTAGAGGGCCATAAGATAGCTCAGGGCCCCACTCAGCTTCTGGAAATGTGTTCTGAGGTCAGGACTGGGACTGGGACTGGGACTAGGGAGCACCCTCTCTCCACCTTTGCACCCCGCATTGTTCTTTTTTCCTCTGCACAGCCAGTGCAGTGTTCTGGGGGTAGTGAGGGTATGAATGAGCCTCCAGAGATGAAGAATTCTGCTGGTGCTACAGTCCCTCTTCTCTCCAATAGGGCAAAATATGTAGGCAGCCAAGATTGGCCATCTTGCAGGGCCAAGGTAACTATGGGTGCCCATAATCCTGAAACTGGATTACATTTCTGGGGCTCTTTAGGGATAGCATTCACCATTGGGTACCACCACTGAGTAGACCATTATCCCTGTAGCCACCTACTGTGCTTCAGAAGTTGGGGGCACCTGAAGCACTGCCCAAGATTCTGGCTATAACAAGACAATCTTATTTCCTGCCTGTTCCCACCCAGTGCAAATAGTGATATAACCAATTGTTCCAGGGTGATGTATGTACTCGTATTCTTGATTTTGACAATGCACAGCAAGCAGGAGTCACTCATTCCATCCATACTCTGGGATAGCCAACATGCTATTATACTCTGTGCAGAATGACACCAGCTTACAGGCATGTTTTTAACCTTCTGCCACATAAATGCAGTCAACATCTACACAACAGTGAGAGTTGCTGAGGGATTAAATGCATGACCTCTTCCCACCAGCCATTTGACATGGTATAGTCCAGAACTGAACCACTCTATGTAGATTGCTTCTCGGTTTCTCACCACATGCAAAGCACAAGGCATGATGATCCAGCAATTGGGGGGCAGATGCATTGAAATGTGAGTTGCAAAAAGCTGGTATTCCTAAATTAGATGCATTTGATCTGCTGCACAGAAGCTAGTTTGACATATAGACTGGCCAGCATAAGTTGTTTTCTGAAAGGGATAATTAGGTACACACCTCTCCTCCTGTTCAGAAACGTGGTGGGTTGTAATGCAAAGTGTAGTCTGTTAGACCAGCAAAGAAATGTTACTGAAATCTATTTAAAATCCATGGAACTATTTAAGGGGCTTTCTTTTAAAAAATTGGCTCTGGAAGGCTTTGGCTTTGGTACTTTAACAACCATCCAACCTCTGCTCAAAATGCTCGTTATTATACAGTGGTACTTGGCTCACAAACTTAATCTGTTCCATGACTCTGGTCGTGACCCAAATTGGTTGTGACCCAAGTCAAATTTCCCCGTAAGGTTCAATGTAAATAAGGTTAATCTGTTCTGTAACTATTTTTTTTAAATCAGAAAAATTTGAAACAAAGTGACAAAGAACAACAAAGTAACAAAGTACTGTACAGTACAGTGGAGAACACTAACCTGGGGTGTGAGGGGGAGGTTATTGTTTTGAGGGAGAGACCCCCTCTATAAGGATATTGGGGAGATCTTTTTCAGGGGTTTCCTATCTTCTTTGTCTCTTAGCTGCAGGGTCAGTTTTGGAAAAATCTGTCTATAGTCACTTGTTTTTTCCTGTGCTGCATAACCGTCCGGAAATGAGAGACCACGTTATCGTCCATCAGATTCAACACTCTGTTCATTACAGTTATGTTGGGGTGGTGCTTCTCAAAGAAATCCTGGCGCTCATTCCATTTTCACATAATGGATTGTATCACATCACTGCTAACCTCCTCTCCGTCTTCCTCTTCCTCAGTGGAATCTTCCTCAGCAAGTGCCTTCTGCTGCTCACTCTGGAGTTCAGCAAGTTCTTCTGTCATCAGCTCCTCTGTCTTCCCTGCACGAACGGAACTGTGATCGTGACCATCTCCCCACTCAGGGTGGCGGGGGGGAGATGGCCACGATCTTGGTTGCCACTCAATGCGGAGCTCGTGACTCAACTCAAAATTTTCATGAAATTTATGTACGTGAACCAATTTGGTTGTGAACCAAGGCATTTGTGAGCCGAGGCACCACTGTATTTGGGTTGATTTTGGATTATTGGTAGAGACCCTTAGGTACATCCTGAAACTATTTTCCCACAGGAAATACTTCCCATCTGATTGTTTGCATTGGTCAACATCAGAAAAGGGATAAACACCCAGAAAAGAATTATGCAGAGCGTGGGAAAGGTTCTTAGCAAACACTGCATCTCACTTCCTGGTTTTCCTGTCTGTTTCTGTGTAGGTGAAAAAGGAAGACTGGCTTTTGAAAAGATGGACAAAATCTGTTGTGAACTGAGGGATACCATGTATCAAGAAGCCGAAATTGAAATTACAGTATTTTGAGCGTATCTTCAAGTAAGATCAGCTGTCCTGTTCATCCCATAGCTGCTTTTATCAGTATATAAACAGCTACAGAGTGCAGATCCAGGCATAACAATGTCTATCTGTCCCAGCTGTATTTTAATATCAGAAACTTTAGAGAATGAATTATTTTCTGGATTTTAACACAACTGGCAGGTGTAAAAAGTCTTGATACATATGCTCTTATAACCCGCAGGTACTATAAAATATTAAGTATCCAAATTCTTAATGGCTTCAGTGAAAGAATGGCATTCAAGGAAGGAGGGAGTGTTGTCTACAGTTCAAATCAAAACAAACATAATCATTCTCTAGGTACAGGAGATGGGATATAGCATTTATTTATTCATTTCATGTTGTGGCCCAAGACTTGCAACAACAGATTTCTAAAATCATGAAGTAGCTACAGCATTTAAACTACAATGTTCTTCTGGCCAACTTACCATGGTAAAATCAAACCAGGGGCAGACTTGTGACTTCTTTGTTCGTTTCCGACAGGGAAGCCTCACACATCTGATCCTTCATCCATTGTTTTAGGGAAAAGTCTAACCCAGGTACTTTTTTAAATTGCAAAAACTACATAGTAGTAGATATATAATATAGTCCCCCAAGGATACTGCCATCTGTGAGATGGTAAACAGTGCCCCAGATTTCAATTACTTTCCATTGACAGTTTTCTTTCTATACACAAAACGCAAATAGGGCAAAAGGTATCATTGTCCCCAGTACTCCAATGAACCTGCAAAATGCTTGGCAAATGCATTTCTTCTACAACCACACAGATGTCTTTGTTTTGATAACAATTTACTGCCCCACATACAATGTGGTTTGGAGTATTAGACGACGCTCCCACCCCGACAATACATTTATGTCAATTCCTTTTTGTCCCTGAATTACACACACTAATAACAAATCCAAGATGACTTAACTTGGAAACTAGCTGTGTCCATTTATGTGCCTGTTTCTGGGTTTGACATTTTGATGAAAACAAAAACTGTTTTTACATGATCTGTAACTGAAATAGTAAACATATATACATCAGGGAGACCTAGTTCTGAGTAAATACATTGGGGTTTTGATGTATGAGGTGATTTTCCTATTGTTAATAATGAAAAATACTGTTTTTGTGTGCAGGTTTCCATCATTGGCTTTCTGCTTTAATGTACATATTTTATACTGTGTACTTTTCAGTATTTATTGCTGGGATTAGTTTACATATTCTGTTCTTTGAAGAAGTTTTATTAAAACATTTGAAATGACACTTCATTTTTCTTCAAATTATTGTTTACATTAAATACTAAACACTGGATCCAGAGTTACAGGAGATGCTTGTGTCCAGAGCTGGTAACAAAAAGCAAAGAGGTGTTACGTCTGTGTTGCCCTGCTGGATGCAGCCCAAAGGCCATTCAGTTGTGTTCCCATAGTGGCCTAACACATGACCATGAGAAGTTCCCTGCAGGATATGAGCACAGTCGTCACAAAGTACTGACTAGCTTCAGACCATATGATCCAGCATACTCAAGGATGGATGTGAGATATGGAACCATGCATTGCTGTTAAAATATGGGTTATTGTGTTGCTGGAACACAATTCCATTAGCAAGCCATGGTTTATTCATCATGAACAGCTCATGAAGACATTCTACAATTTGCTGTTGGCCTATGGTCTAGTTTCTTATTTTGTTTGGTTACCTTGCCAACATAATAATCCACAGTTGAATGACAACCCACACGCAACCCAAGGGTAGGTTCTCATGTTGTCTGAATCTAGTCAGTGCTGGTGTAAGACAGTCTTTCTAAACTCAAAGGCTAAACTTTGTGCAATTTTTTTAAAAAGAGATTGGAAAAATGGTTTTATTGCTCTCAAAATTGGTGGCACCCAGTGTAACATTATCACTAAAACCAATTGCATTGCATTACAAAGAAGTGGGGGGCCGTTTTTCAGCTTTCTATAATTTTGGTGCTAGCTGTGCATTTAAACATGGGAGTCCCTTTGTGTTATGTGAATGAGCTTCGTGTTATACACCTCACCTCCCCATTCGACGCTGCGGAGAGTCAATAGGAAGCATCTGTTTCCACTTTTAAGCCAACTTCTGGTTAAATTAAGGTTAAACCATGGTTGATTAATGCAACTTTTTGTTAAATCATAGTTTAAACTAATAAAAAAATCAAGTTTGGCTCTAATAGGGAACTCTAGTTGATTTAAAAGTGGATGTTTCCAATCTTCTCCCTGAAACTCTGCCAGAAGATAGGGTGGGGGTGGGAAAGAGCATGTAAAGCTGGAGTCCTGCTGAGTCATGCTTATCTAGGCTAAACTAGAATCCAGTTTTTCATCTGAACTGAGCACTAGTTTTGCTACCCCAAGGACAAGGATTGCCATTATGGGCTCTGGTTTAGGACTCAGCCTGAGGTATAGGAGGCTATTAACCCTTTGGCTCTGTGTTATAGTCCACTTTTAAATTGTACTCCCCACCCCCAGCACTCTAGCAATTTGTGGGGTGCCGGGAAGAAGGCATGCATAGTTTGGCTGGATCAACACAGAGCTTTTGCGGCTGCAAACAGTAAGATTAGAACAAGTGAAGAAAAAAAAATCAGACATGTACTTCTTTACAAAAGAATTTTATTGTTGCAGCTAAAATGAGAACTGAAAATCTGTATGGGAAATTGAAAAACTGTACAGTTTTACTGAAACTGTGAGGTCATTGCAGCGCCTTACACAAAAGACAATATACCTGAAAATGTATTATACCAAAACATTTAGCTTGTTTTTTTTTTAATTTTATTTTTTTTTTAAAAAGTTTTCTATGGCAATCTGTAAAAAAGAAAGACCTGATGAGTAAATATTTGCTTAAGGCATATAGCAGAGCAGCTCACTAACTTTCTAACAAGTTTAAACATGGATATTTTTTTCCATTCCCCCTCCCCCCAAGAATAGGTTAACTCATACATCCACTTTGAAATGCTACTGTATATACACACCCAAAACTACTACATACATATACAGGACATCAAACAAAATGCTTACATTTCAGCATTCTAAGCCTTATACACACCTCACTGGGCTTGACTACGGCATTCTATTCTTTATTTTCACTACAGTACAAGTCTTTCTTGAGTTCAAATGGGTAAAAGGCAAACAGTGATGCAGGCAGGCCTAAGGGGACAAGCTGGCTGCAGCTGATTCCCCCTGCTTTCTCTGGATAGCAAGAAAAATCCTTAGTCTCCCCAGCTTAAGGGATGCAAGAATCGTACAAGCAAGTCACACTGTGGATTCTAAGGAGAAACATTATGAATTCAACTATTTCTTCCTGGGAGGAAGAATATTACAATCCGTTTCCCACCCATTGTTATTATTTAATTTTTATTTTAAAAAACAAAACAAAACAAAACCCTCATTCTCTATTAAACAAGAAATACAGACTTTAAATCTCACTTTGGTTCCGATGGCCTTTGCAAAAAGCTTCCCCCGTGGACTATCAGGCAGTTCTGTGTATCTGGGCACCTTGTATTTCAGCTACGTGCTGCAGAAAAAGAGTGTGCGCGCACAAGAGAGGTGTGGATATGGCTTTGTACATACTCTGGAATGTTTGTACTATACTTACTTGGCTGAAATGAGTGGTATACAACTGGGTTACATGGCATACGTATAAAACTGAACAGAAAGTCATGCCAAGGATAGGCAAAATTACCTGTTTTGTTTCTGTTTTGTTTTTTTTGTTTTTGTTTTTTTTTAACGAGATCACACACGCCTACCCATCTAATTGGCTGAATGAAGATACTTCAGCAACACCCTTGGATCCACAGCCATTGAAATGATCAGATCATGCAAGTATAATTTGGGCACATCAGAAAGCAGAAATAGAAAATATATTTTCACCTTTCAAGCACATGGATTTTGATTGGGACACTTTTAGGAGACTTTATACATGCATTTGAATAAAAATGGGATACAAATGCTGCTTTTGAACAATATCCCACTGAACAAGAGTAATGGAGACAAAGCAATCACATACTGTATAGTAAAATACACAGATGAGCCATTATATATTATACCATTTTCTATACTCATATCAATAGTTTTCATGTTTCCAATATTACTATTAAATATTGACCACCAACAATATTCCTCCTTTCAAATTCTGGTCTGAACAACAATCTCACAGGTAACTTCTTTGTAAGGTTCCAAGTACTACCTGAGGATTTATTATTATATTTTTGAAAAGCCCTTGGTGTAAGCTTAATTTTCATTTTTTAATCCAACCTTTTCTTCCTTTCTTCTTTCCTTCCCCAAGTCTATAATACAACATTGTATTGGTTCAAGGGAGAAAAAAGAGCTAAAGTTTGCAAGAGTTGTGGAGAACAAATATAAATATGGAGTGAACAGTCTATTAAGTCATAGATTTTTAAAGGGGATGGAGCTTAAGCCCTAAATAAGCAGAATGCAAAATTTTCAAATCAGTGATTAGTCGCACTATGGATCATTTGTCACGGTATTAATTTGAAACAGCTATGACATTCATGGATGAATGTGGCTTATTCTCTGCACCATGGACAAAGGATTCCTCTATTTCTGGTGCTCACAAAAAAGGGGTTGGCCAAGTGAGCTTACTAACTCAGTCAAGGGAAACAACATACATGATCGGACAGAATTTTGTCCTCCTCTTAGCAGCTATGGCAAATGAAACTAGGCGGTATCAAAAGGAATGCACCCCTAAAATTATAACACCCTTTACTGAAGAGGCAAAAGTGCAATCCTACAGACATCTGCTTAGAAGTAAATCCCACTGAGTTCAGTGGGACTCTCAGGAGAGGACTGCAGCCTTAAGCCTGGCTACTGAACACTGTGCTCTTGAACTAAATAAAAGCCAGTCTTGATATCTTCTAGATATCTTCTTGATATCTTCTGTCGGGTTCTAAAAAACCCAACAAAACTGAAAACCACCAAGACAGTGGTTTGCATCTTGCAAAATTACTAGCGGATCTGGAGAACCAGGTCTGCTCACCTTTTCCCCAAAAGGAATCTGCCCCAGCATCATCTACGCAGAAATATTACCAATGGCTCTCTGTGATAAGGAGATTTAATAGTCTTAGTATTATTACTTTTAAACTCTTGTTCTGTTTTGAACACGAAGTGTATTCTTCACATGGCAAGTCTAGACTGAAATTAAGTTGCATTTTACATTCCAAATATTAAAGCAGCTTAAAAACTGGTCCTTTCTAACTCAAGTATTTGAAGTATTTTTAATGCTGGTACATATATTTTGGTTGCATTTCACTTTCCCTCCTCCAAAAAATAGGTAACTACGTTATATATAGGTTTTTAGAAAGCTGATGGTGCAGTGCAATCCATACGTATGCACAATAGGGTTAACAGATGACTTGTAACGGATGGTGGTGTATTCCTTTTGTGTAAAAGGGAAGAAGAAGATACTAGCACTGATCAGTCGAGATGCCCTGAGCAATAGCAAGTGCCCATTATAATAAACATGTAATGAAACCCAAACCTATTTGAGAATGATGAAATATATCCCGTTTTACCTGCCCTACCCCAAAATCTCAAACTACAATTCAACTTCAACATGGTGGTAGTACTACATAATCTCTATTTACTGGAGCTCCTAGAACAACAGCTAATTTAATTCATAGAGGTTATGCAGAAGTGGTTCTTTAGAGATTGAGCCTTAGACTTGCAGTAAATTGCATGCAGTAAAGAGCTCTCCCCTCACAAAAAACTTGTACATTCTTCAGGGGTGTGTATATATGGGTATATAGTGGTGTCTTAAGGAACCCAGTCATGTATCTGGTTACAAACACTTGGAGAGTACAAGCAGTTTTTACTTGTGCCTAGTTTCTTTCTTTTTTTTCTGAAAACAACACCAAAAGAACAAAAACTGGCTTTAAAAGACTAAAAACAACGTGTTGTAAACTCTTATTATTCCATTTTTTTAAAAAAGGAAAATAATGAAAAACACAAGACTTATTTGGCATATTCTCTGCTTACTCCTGAATATCTTAAGGCCCTGAGATTAGAATATTATGTTCTTGGGACCATAGGGAAAAGATTAAACCCTAGTGCATCAACTTTCTTTTTAAGCCCTAACCAAAGTTCCAGCTTCTCAAACTTAAGATATACTCTTCCATTGGGACAATGCTTGGTTGTCCCCTTCAGTTTTCTTTTATAGAAACAAGTTAAACACTGGTGACCTTACTGGCATTTTGGTACCATCTCCGGTGTGTCCATCAATGAAAACATACTCTGTAACAGAGGTATGCTCCTGCTGTCAGGAAAGTGAACACGCAGATATTGACCAGAAATGGTTTCCAAGTTGACATCATGTTTTCATCATCATCTTCTTCCGGCTTCACCAACTCTTCACTGTGTGGTGAAGCATCAACAGTCCTCTTCCTAAGCTCAGTGTCTTGTTTACCTCTGAGGAACAAAAGTAAAAATGTTCTGATCAGGAAACTGTGTCACTTGAGAAAAGGAACTACAAGCATATTGGCACTGTTCAATGGCAGAGGTACTCAGAAGAACACAGAGTGTAGGGGGGAGACTCGAAGGAAAATTACTGATTGAGGAATATACATCAGCAATGTTGTTGAAAGGTGAAGAAGAATGGTGGGATATCAAGATTAATATCAACGTTCATCAGTTTGATCCTGGAAAAATAATTTCCTCTTTCCATATACCTTCTTTTGTGGGATAAATGAACTACTTTCTCTGGTTTGTGTCACAAGATGAGAATATGGCCTAGGAAAACCCTGGCTCCTTAAATGATTACCACTGAGAATTAAAATCTCCCCAACAACTATCAATTATATCTAACCATTGCCACAAGACAAATGTAAGCTGCTCTTATTCTGGACAAGAGTAATGGGGTAGAATGACCTTATTTTTTTTTTCTTTGGCTATCCAGACAATAATGTTTTCCACACAACTGTTCAATAGCTGATATAATGCCATGCAAAAGTAATCACCCCTCTTTGACTTGCCCAGATTTTGTTGTGTTATAATCTGGAACTGAAATTTATTTAATTGGCACTGTTAGCACTTGATGTATACCAGATACTCCACACTGTAAAGGTGAATATATATATTTTTTTTCCTGACAAAAGTTAAGGAAACAAAAAAACACTGCCACACACACAAAGGAAAAATAAGCCTGACACAAATGTGGAAAAGTCGAAGGTGGAGGATACTTTTGCAAGGCCAAAAGGCTCACATTCAGGAACCGACTCGGACACTCTGATGCACCTACCCATTACAGGTCTGTCAGCATTGACCCAGGCATGTGCACACCAAAGAGGAGCTCTGCTAGAATGTGCTCATGAGATCAAACAGTTCTTCAGGTTTTAGCACTGCATGTACTGTTGCACATAAAAACAGGTCTGCTCTGAATGCTCCAATTTTACCATTCACTTAAAACTGAAACTATTGCTCATGGAGCAGAAGTGACCTCTAGTGCTCAGAGAAACGCCTTGCATCTTCTCACACTTTTCCTAAGTAGTTTGTTCTGTTTTGTGTTCCAAGTTACAGCTATTTCGACTTATAGGTAACATGATGAAGAGATGAAATCTCTGTTGATCTTTCCTTCCTCTCAGACTGGAAAGTGTTTCATCACCTCTAAACTGTCTTTAAAGTGACAAACCACTCCTCTGCTATTTTGCAATGCACTGTGAGCAACTGAGGGTGGAACTACATTTTATGAGTTAGTTCCAGGTTTTTAGAAACTCTTTCTCCTCTAAAAGAAATCACATAACTACATCTGAGTTGTAGTTCTCTAAAAATCCTGATGTTTCAGTTCCAGTAAGAATGTTCAGTTCCACTGAGAAATAGAGGCTACTGACAAAGAGACCCCTTTCATTCTCAGCTAGTCGAAAAATTAAATGGGTATATTAAATGAAGCATATTAAATGGCAAGAGAAGGCACCTGTTTTAAATGAGCTGGTATAGCTTCCTAATGTTAGCATTTGCTATTTTTGGAGGGTTTTGAGGACACATAAAATACAGGTTCAACTTTTTCAGAACTATTATTTTACTTCTTTAAGAATTCTACATTTATAACACAATTAAGCCATATAGCTAAGGTTATAGCTTTGGTTAAGATGTCTGCAGATGTATGACTATTACTTTATCAATCTCATTTTTTAAATGTTCATTTCAAGTCTCTCCTTCCAGACTATTACAGAAGAAAACTGGACACTTTCTTGAACATTCTCAAACATGTTCATCCCTTTCTTCTCAACTTCCACATCTCTATTCTTTCTAAAGTGGCACATCTAGTGCGGTTTGGTAAAAGCACTGAGAAAGGAATGGACGGCATTTGATTTGGTGGAGAATGTTATGACTCAGGACAACTCGTTGGCTGTGCAGCTGCTGATAGTCTGCCACAAGCATTGCAGAACAAGCCTTCTCAACATTACCTCTCCATAGCTAGTTGCTCAGAAGGGCAACCCCTGCCATCAGGAACTTTTGCCTCCAGAGCGCTGACTGTACACTTGACTTCCTCCTCAGCCCCCTGAGGCTTTGGAAAAAATTCCATGTGACCATGCACCTTTCCATTATTCAGTTCTGAGGTTCGTTTGGGTGGCCTGGGTGGTGGGGGAGTATGTTCTGGTGGCGGGTCCAAGTCCTCTTTAGAGAGCTCTTTCCATTGCTCCTTCAACAGAAACAGACTGATTAACCTCCTCCAAATTGACAAGCAGAACAAAAACCACACCTGCAATTAGGAATTTGCTGGGTCATTAACATGTTAATGTTTTCAAGGAAGAGTTATTGTGGCTTGTGGTACTTAGTGCAAACAAGTTATAGGGGGCCATGGCAGGGAGCACCTGAAGCAACTGCACGTTACCCAACAGACAAACTTCCCCACAGTGTCTTCCTTGTTGCTACAAGATAAATTGAAATGAACCACTGCATCATCAGGCAATTTCACATAACCTCTTGCAGCTCCAGACCTGTACAACATGAGAATTGTGTCTGGGTCAGTCGATGGCAACCACACAAATGACATCTTAGAACTGAGTTCAATTTGTAGGACTCATATTTTAATACACTTTCCCGCTTCTGGATCCCTTCCAGTTCTGTGGTTCTGACCTTCCACAAAAAATTGGGTACACCTTTTAAAACTGAAGACAAACTATGGCCTACCCAATATGATGCTAGTAACACTCACCTGCACAGATGAGTCTCCCATAATAAATTTTGCTCCCTCTGTAACAGCCAAGTAAGAAAATCGAAGTTGGTCTGCAGTCTGTATAAGCCCCATTCGGTATTTTCTCATTTCTAAAAGAACCTGCTTAATGTTGACAGAAGAAGGATCTTTCCTTTTTTCCATCTGAACAAAAAAACACAACACTCCATTTATGTTCTAATTTATTCTATTTTAAAAACTGCAGGCAATATCCAAATCTCCTTTGTGCTAACTAGTATGAACACTCGTGCAATGATAAGCTAGTGCTGAAGTAGCTGGGGTGGCCAGGAACTACCTGAAACCAGCATGTATGGAATGGGAAAAGCTTGAAAAAGGTACTCTTGTGCCTTGTCTCATTTCGTAACTGAGTGTCAGCGAGTTTTGAGGGTTGTTCCAGGAAGTGCTGGCTTCCCAGGGTGCAGCTGGCCATTCCTGTTCATGCAGCCTATTGAGCAACACTGCCCTGAGCATACCTGCCTTTTTCCAAAACAGACTTCAAGGCCATTTACAAAGGGATACACCATACAATATTTTAAAACTATATAACCCAAATTCATAAAAGCAGTATTATTAATAATAAAGTGCAATGGTTAGTCCTCAGTGAAATTTAGTGTTTTACTGTCATTTATATTTATATTGTGTTTTATCAACTGTAGTACATGGCTGAGAAAGCTAAAATTATTGGGTGGTTTCAAAATAAAATAAAAAATGAACCTTCATAGAGATACAACACTGAATTAGGTTTAAGTAACTACAAGACAACAAAGAAAGCCAGTGTGATGTAGTGGTTAACAGAGTGGGCCTGGGACAGGTGATTTGGGTTCTAGCTCCTGTTCAGCCATGTAGCCATGGACTTTGGGCCACTTGCAGACTCTTAACCCAACCTACCTCGCAGGGTTGTTGTTGAGATAAGAGTGCGAGCAGTAGCAGGATTATACAAGCTGCTCTGAGTTCATTGTAAGAAAAAAGCAGGATATAAATCTTATAAACAAATAAAACATTGCAGTTGGGTTTGCACAATCAATAAAGGAAAGAATCTAATGTGGCTTCTTCTTCCATCCCCAAGTACACTAACTCATTTCTGTAATTACCCTTGATGAGTACAAGCTGCTGTGTTGCCTGACCCTGATTAAGTGGGCATTGGGTATATCCTCTCCACTACCCATGGTTTGCTCTAGGGTTTTGGGGTGGTTTGAAATTAAGTCCCACTGTTTGCTCTTGTGTGTGGTTATAGAAATGAGGAGAACCCAACCAGCATGTGGCTTTTTCCCCTTCTCAATTCATGCAAACACAGCCAATTGCTCTATTGAAGAGCAACTGGAAGATGACTGTACCAAGGTACCCACTGACTGGGATTTCCATTATTTAATTTGCAATCAGAATGTGTTGCTCCTACTTCCAATAGTCTCAACCATCATTGGCTCCTCTCTGTTCATACCACTAGAACTAGACAACTTGAATGGAAAGGCTGCTTATCTGTTATTGTATTTCATCTGGTTAAACAGAGCATTAGGCAGGGGCTCCATTTATCTCACCTGCTACAGGTAGTGGTTCCTACTTGCTTTTCAGTTTTTATTTGGCCACAATGAAGGCAAAAGGTGAGGTACTGAAGAATGGAGGAGGGTGTCAGAGTTCACAGGTGCCACTTGAAGTACCACAATTACAGGTGAGCAACCTGTTCTCTTCCTCTGGAGACTGGAAGAGCCTGCTTCTGGATACCATGTAGGAGTGTGCTGGTTTAAGGCACCCCAAGTATAGAGAGCAAGAGAGCCAGGAAGGGTATTTGGTATTCCCATAGCCCTCTAGGTGCTGAACATGCCTTGTAAGAGGAGATTGTCTCCTAAAACTAATAACTGAAGTGCCTGCGGCAATCCGGTGTCATGTCATTACAATGCCAGAAGAAACTCCCGAAAGAGGCCAACGATGCTGGTGAGGTCTGAGGTGCTCTCTAACGCGCGCGCGCGCGCGCGCGTGTGTGTGTGTAATTCCAAAGTGGATTCCACAGCTGCAGGAACTGAAAGGCAAGCAGGAGCCATTTCTTGCATGTGCGCAAGGGAGGGGCTGCAGCTCCTGCCTTAACCTCAGTTTAGCTCTGGAAAGTTCCAGATGACTGTGCCGCACAGGCACATTTGTGTGAGTTGCAACAACCATGAAGTAAAACCTTATTGGTACCCACAAAATGAGCAGCATTCCTAGGCCAGACCTCTGGGTAATGTATGTTTTTTAAACAACCCAATGCTGTTACAAAGCAACTCAAATTAGGGAAAAAGCAAAGCAGGACTCTGCAATGTGAACACATTTGCATATATTAGCCATTTTACATAAATTATTTATTTATTTAAAGCCTTTCTATCCCATTCTTCACCAGAGTCTCAGGATGGTAAAACAGTAAAAAGCCACAGCATCAGCATCAAATAGCAACAAATAAAACCCTTTATGCATCTGATAGCTGGTTTGCCCTTTCTTAAGGCTTTGTAGCACCCAGATGGTGTGACTCTCAAAACCTTTCAAATTCTACAATTTCAAGCTCATTTTCACAGCCACTAGTGTGTGTCCGTGGGGGTGGGGGGGGGGGATGAGGGAAGTACCTTTAGCATTCTATGATTTGGAGAACTAAATGCCATAATCTTAGTGATGCAACTACACAAGTGTGGGATATACATATTTCCAACATATATGTCAATGTCACTCAATGTCAACAATCAGTGTCACTCTCCTGAAATGGAATGAAAGTTGCAGACCTAAACACACTTCTTATGGAGCAAGTCCCACTGAATTCAGTAAGACTCATTTTCAAGTCGCTTTACACAGGACTGTGCTGTACAGTTGTAATCCTTTGCATGTGAACTCGTACATAGGTTTTTCCTGAAAGCAGTGGAAGCCATTTCCAAGCAAATGTGTTTAGAACAGGAATGTGTGAGGGAGACTAGGGTAGAACCAGATTCTCCCTCAGGCAAACTTTGGAAAGGCCATGAGCTCTGGAAAGAGGCTCAAACGTTACTGCAGTATGTCTGAACATTAAGGCAACAAGTATTTAGAATTAAGAGGATAAAACTGTGTTTTTTCATAGTTCAACTGCCAATAACAAAAGCACATTTATTAAAACAAGACAGAGAAAGGGTGGGGAAAGAGGGGGTGGTAGCTCTTGACCAACAGAAGACTGAAATCTAGGTCTGTTTTAAGCTCTGAAGTGGAAGCAGAGTACCAAAGGACAGGATTTTTTGTAGACCTCAAAAAGATATTATCAGCAGTATTACATGACTGTCCCCCTCCTTTTTAGGGTCATGATTCACAAGTGCTGGATGGTGATTTATATAGGCCTCCATGTGGACTGCTCACATCACACATCAATTTAACTGTCTGGAGGAGGAGAGGGGATGCAGGCCATGCTCATTCATGGCACAAGGACTGCTGCCTTGTCTCTAAAGGACCCCAGCATCTCCCTAAAATGTTAAGGCAGAATTCATAGAGACGTCCAAGCCCGTCCTCCTGTAAGTGGCTTGCCAAAGTTCCCCAGGGGTCATTCTGTTTTGCTTCAGCCGAGCCAGCACTGCTGTTAAGCTACACGTATTTACCAACACCTTTCACAAGCTGTTCTTACCAAAAGAAGACAAGTATCGACCAAACAGAAAGTTCCCGATCTTCCGATTCCTGCACTGCAATGAACAACAATGGGACCATGCTCAGGGCTCAGTGAGCCCGACTCTCTCACTTTGAACAGGAAGTTAAGGAACGAAGCTGGAGACTCAGGGACACCGAAGTCTGGCCACGTTGTATAGTGAAAATGAAGGATTTCTCGAGTTTCATGTGTCTGTAAATTACAAGGGGAAAAATGCTTTCATTTGGGGTTTCTTGGGCATAAAAATGCATCTTCCATTCTGGTTACTCTCTGCAATAATGCAGACATTCAGCATATTTCCATAATCCCTGTAAAAAGCTACATGCTTACACAGTACTATATTGATTTATTTGTGTTCAAAGAACTTTACAAGGGTGATTTTGAGACTGCATGTGATCAGGCACTGACTAACAGAGTTTGTTCTAGTGCGTTCTAGTCCCCACTCATCCATGAAGAGTTTGGGCAGTCACAGACTATCAGATTAAGCTAGGAGTGTGAAGATCAGGTCAGACTCTGGCTTTCATGAGCTTGCCAGACTTCTTCCCCATGCTTGACCCTGGCCAGGAAACAAGCCAAGATCAAGTCTGCAAATGCTCAGGAACACTAGCAGCTTCTTTATGTAAAGTACACAATTCTTTGCACAAAATACCCAACGCCTGCACGTCATGTGTGCAGAGGCAAAACTCTGCTTGAACTCAGTTCTGGCCAGATGTTCATACAAATGGTTGGCATGAGATGAATTTAGGGCAGAGAGAAAGTGGGCTGGAGTCCAGAAATCTGACAAATCTAGGAGATTCCTACTCCCCAACAGTTGATTGAAAATATAAGATGCCAAAAACTGATCTCATGATTAGTACTTAGAAATCTGCCCATGCCAAAGAACAGGGGATATGCATAGGATTTGCCAAAGCCTGATCCAAATTAGGCCTGTTTGCCATGTTTCTCGTAGTTGCTGAGTTGGGCTTTCCTTCAAAATGGACAGGACCAAGTGGGACCCTGCATGTTTACAATTTAGGCCGAGAGAGGCAAAACTAGAACTTTGTCTTGTTTCTCCAGAATGCAGATGGGGGGCAAGTCAGCAAGGCTGAGCAACTGACAGGCTCACTTTCTAATGCAAGGGGATGTTTTCACCAGGGGCTCTCCAAACACTGTGCCTTGCGGGAAGGGCAAGCATGGGACCATGAGATGAACATTCCTCCAATGCTCCCAGGCTTCATTATAAAAGCCAATCACTGGTATTCGGTACTGCCCTACACCTATCCTTTTGAGACTTTTTTTGCCTACAGATATGCTCCATTTTCATACAAATTGCTCCAAAATCCGTAAGAGGAAAGACGAAAACAGAATCATTCTTCTACCCAATGAAAGCCACTGCACTTATCCCTCCTGAAACTTAGTCACATGTACTGACTCTATACTGTCTATCATTTTTAGAAAAATGGCCCACAAGGAATGTGGGTAGATAAATGTGCCCCTTTTTGGACATAAAAATCAACGCACATGTTCATCTGAAAGTTGGCATATTTTGAAAAGGCAACCACCCCTGAAAATTTCATCTAAATCTACCAAAATATAAAGATTCAAGCCAACTGGAGCCCCGTTATGTAAGCATTTGAAAACCACTGGAACCCTAATGGAAGAGCCCCCAAGAGCTGCAGTCTTAACAAAGAGTAGCCTTCTTTAATTTGGTAATCTCCAGAGATGTTGGGCCTGGAGGAATGTTGTCCGTGGGGTCGCGATGGGTCAGACATGACTTTGCGACTAACAACAAAGAGATGTTAGACTACAACTCCCGTAATTCCAAAGCTATTGATAGAGAAGATCAACACAACAATATACAGTTTACTGAATGGGGGGGTGGGAACTGGCGGAAAACAGGGAAGTGCCACTGTTTGATGGCATAAGCTTTCCATACTTACTGTGAGGTTTTCCAATTCTAACTGCCGCACTGTATAATAGGATTTTATATCTTCTGATATCAAGGTTAATGTGAAGTTTGTATCCTCAAAGAACATTTCTTTCTCTTCTTTTTGTGGCCAGTACTGTGCACATTTTACCTAAGGGAGTAGGGAAAGCAATGAAGAGAAACATTAATTTTAAATAGTACTGCATCATGTTGTTTCAAAGTGGGAGGAATAAACAGTCCTCCCCTCTTCTCCTACTGGGTGAGCATAATTTATTACACAATTCTGTAAGAAGACTTACAGAAATGAAAAAGGCTTGCTGCTTCTCACCAGTCTTTGCTTCTCCTATTAGAAGAAGCACCACAACCAGGGAAACAGGAGAGGAGGAGGAAATCCCTGAGCAAACAGGCAAGCCTCCAAAATGCTTCTGGAAGATGATGGCAGATGCCAGGGAGACCATGTATACAGAGCAGTGGTGCAACACAACCTGTGCAGTAGGTCTAATATGGAGCATCTTCACTTAAGGATTTAAAGACAGGATTGTTGAAAAAGCCTCTCCTCGAGAGTAGCTTGGGGAGTTACTGCCAATCAGAGTAGTCATTCAATATATTGTAGCAACATGTAAATGGATGCATGAGGGAAGGAACTACATTCATACCTAAAATTCAGGATGTAATTCATAACCACTAACATTGCAAGAAATCTAAGCAATTACTCCTTAAACCAAGCTAACCACTCAAAAAACAAAACATGTTTCAATACCATGACATGGAACTAGGTACTGGTTTCTGGAACTGTTATGAGAGTACAGCATATGACAACTAAGAAAGCCCCATTGTGACAAAATTGCCAACTCAGACAAGGCAATAAAATTACCCCAATAATTTTAGGACACTATTTAGAGAACAGTTAGAAGCTTACATGGACAAAGCTGTAAAGTTTTAATTTGAACCAAGAGGCAGAACTACAAGTGAAAATTGTCCAATTTTCCTAAAAAATCCCAGCCTTATGAGTTCATTTTGATGGCATACAGAATAGTTTAAATATTACAATGATTTATTCTCATAGGAAATGAAGTCTGAGCATTCAGTTATCTAAACTCTTGACTAATCATAGTGATCTTTTCAATTAGAATTTTCCAGGAAAAACAAGTTCAGCATTGCTAGAATGTTAACATACTACACATCTGAAGGTGTCCAATACCTGGAGGAAGTGGGTAACCTGTCTAAAGAATCCTGGAAGTATTACAAGTAGTACATTTTTATACTGCCCATAGCCAAAGCTCTCTGAGCAGTTTACAGCAATAATCATGGAATTATACACCCAAGTCACCCATCCCAATTCTGACCAGGCCTGATGCTGCTTAGCTTCCAAGATTAGACAGGAGCAGGCATTTGAGCCTACACGAAGGCTTTAACTATTAAATCTAGAACTATGTCAACCAAGAACATATGCTTGTTGACAACAATATCATGGAAAATTCAAAACCTCTGTTCTGGCTAAAACCATGAATCAGCAATACTTGAAAGAGCATCATGGATTTTTGGTGTTCCACTTTCAGTACAACATCCTTATTCCTTCTTCCCACTTTTTCTACCATTTGACAAAAAAATAATTGCATACTTTAATTGCTGAAAGAATTAATAAATATGGAGTAGTAATACTGGAGATCTTTTATAGAAAAGAACCAGTGTGATTCACAAAGGAGCTTCAGGCAATGGCTCACCAACCCACAAAGCATTTTATTCAGAAAAAAATGAACTAATGCTTTGTAGGTTAGTCCATTATAGAAGTTACCAAAGTCTTTCTTGCTCTAATTCCACAACAGTATGACTCAGTTGGATGTAGCAAGAAATTACAATCTTCTGTACATTTATTTTTAATTACAGTTTGCAAGTGGATTCACTCCCTGTATGATTTTTGTACCAAATGGTTGGCAAATCATGTTTTTGCCAAGTTCGCACTGAGCATCCTCCCACAACAGTTTGTTGAGAAGCATTAACAGCCTGCCCCCCGGGATTGCAATAATTCTGTTCTTTGTTCTGGCTTACTGGCAGTGGAGAAAGAGTAAGTGGGGGTGGATGGGAGAGCGGGGAATGGTTGTGTGTTTAAAGCACTTTGCTTTCTTTTTTAGATTTGTTTCACTACTCATATTACTATACAGGCCTACACATACCAAGACAGAGGTTATGGCAGAAGACTCCTACAGGTGGAGGACAGTCTTCTCTCGTCTCAGAACAATTCATCCTCTACTTCAAGTAAGACCAGTGATCTAAAGGACCAGTGATCAAGTCCTTTTAAGAACTCCTGTTATGTAATTTTTGGAAGTTGTAAACTGGTATTTGGGAAGAGAAACAAGGGCATGCACGCTTGGCAATATATATGTAAGGCCAACGGCAGACCTTCACAGAAGAAAAGAGCGCACACTGTATCACTTAATTCTTGAGAATCGCAACTAAAATAAGCAACATGATACTAACAGTGCAAGATAGAATGCAACGTACTCCCAGGTGAGTACACGTGGAACGGCAGCTTCAGTGTACACTGTTTGGCAACCATCAAACTTATCTCTTCCACATTCTTCCCCTACCATGACTTCACCAGTTTTTAAAGTACTAAATGTCATACATATGGGACAGCATATAAAAATTTTAAATGAATGGCTGGATGAATGTTCATGGGTTTATATGTTTGTTTGTTTATTGTTGTTGTGATTATTATTTTAAAGCGAAACTGCTCTTAGTATTTGCACGGTAGTGATCCATTTTTGATGACACAATGGGAGGTCAGCCAATCAGTTTCACGAATGCTTTACATATATATTTGCAAAACTGCTTTTTTTCCTAGAGTTCAACTCTGGAAATGAATAGGAATTAATCTTTAAAAATCAATGGGGTCATTGATTCCCTGAGGTAACTAGCCGAGCATTTTCCAACTGTTAGGAAGTAATTTAATCTGAGTTTACAAACTAGATTCCAGCCTTCCACACAACGGTTTATGATGAGATATTATGTACATTAAGAAATTGCATATAAATAACATGCATACAGAATGTTCCTATTATGAAAAGTGTTTTTAAACAAGCAAAAAGGTTTTTGGGGAGAAGAATATGGGAAAGTGATGGCCAGTAGGGCAGTATAGCGAGGGAATTATGCAATGAAATGATGAGAGTGAAACATATTATAAGCAATGCAAGACAAAGAAAATCCAACCTTTTAAATCTGTGTCTTTCACACATTCTACCTCGAGGGAACAATTTTTACACTGCCTTATCTCCTGAGAATCATGTCTATTCTTGGCTGTACAACTTTAGTACCTTGCAGATAGTTCTGAGGCATAATATTGGGTACAGGCTTACATGGGGCATGCTCATATAGCTTGTATATGGGATCTTGTGCACTGAGTGCAGCCTCCAACATACTGGCCATACAGTGAAGCACAATGCTCAAAAATGCAACACAAACATCTTTAGGAACATAGGAAGCTACCTTATACTATGTCATACCACTGGCTCCTCTAGCTTGGTACCACCTACTAAACTGATTCATAGAGACTCCCCATGGTTTCACACATTTTGTCATCAGTTGTACCTGGAAATGACAGAAACTGAAACCAAATCTTTTTGCATGCAAAGAACGTGCTCTGCCACAGAGCTATAGTCTCTTTCTGCAAAATTTACCCACTATTACTGATGTTCTCATCAAAGAACTTCTGAAAAGCTTTTGAAGAACTTCAGGGATCCTTAGAAATTAAGTGGAACCATTTCCCTGGAACAACCCAAGGGCTCAAATCTGTTTGTTAAAATATCTTTCTGAGAACTCTTAAACATCAGGCAAGAACAGACTATATGACCAATACTGGTTTCTGTGCTAAAGTGCAGTAAATGGACATTCCTGGTTACAGGACTCTGCTTTACCATGACTGGTGCTTGCACAATGGGAAGAAGCATTAGATTGTATGTATGCCAGAAGCACCCACATAAGGGCAAATTAAGCCAAATGTTCTTGCTAATCCCTATGGGACTGGCTGGGACCTTTAATATATTAACAGTAATCACAAGAAAGCACATAAATGGATCACTGCCAATTTGTAGCATTATGGCTACATCACCTGATTGCGGTCCTACAGGGGTCCAACTTGTGGACATCTCCCATCATTCCTCAACATTGCCTGTGCTGACTAGGGATGATGTGGGTTACAGACCAAAAAATCTGGAGGAACGTATAGTAACCATGACTGATACAAGGTCTCAAAGCCAGATTTAATATATTTTAGATTCTCAGAAATGCATAAATCATCCCTCGATGATAAACTGAATTGGATCAAACAATACTTAGGTCTGTTTACACAGCACAGCACAGCACATATAAATGCACACAGGTAATGATACAATTTCACATTATGGGAAGACAATCATGCTAGGGAAAGTTATAAGACAGAAGAAGAAAATGAAGACCAAACAAGAGATGGATGGACTCCATAAAGTAGGCCACAGCTTTGTGTTTAGAACAGCTAAGCAGGGATGCCATGGATACGACATTCTGGAGAGCCTTCGTTCATTCATAGGGCCACCATAAATCAGAGACAACTTGACGGCACATAACAACAATTATACAGATTGGTTTTTGTTTGGCTAAAAAGGAACAGATAAAAGTTTGGTCTCCAAAAGTTTCATTTCTTGTGGCGACTTCAAATGTACTGTGCTGTTTGATTTTGTTTCATGTACTGTTGTGCATGGTGTTTGATTTTCAGTATTAAAGTGATTATTTCAATGGGAGAAAACATGTCTTTAAATTAATCCTGCCTGCTCAAATGCTTTCAACATATTTTCCACATGCATTTGCAATTGCTGGTCCTCAATATGCAGATACTTCAGAGGTGTTTGCTTAAATACCTGAAGGGACTTCTTTGCTGAACACAGCCAATCAGGGATCACACAGTGAAGGCATTACAACCACTCCCCATCTTACTGGCTATATGATGAATGCAAAGAGAGCTGCTATATTATCTTCTTCCATTTTTGATGGTTTTGTTGGGCCACTTGAAAAATCATAAAAATATGCATAGAAAACATCACAACTTTTCAAGGAGCCCAACAGAAACCGCAAAAATTGATGTGCTTTTTAGAGGTCTTAATATATTCACATAACTTGTGCTTCTCATCTCAATTCTATCTTTGTTTCTGCCTTACACAAGCTACTATCTCTCCATGAACTAGAAATTAGAAATTAGGAAGGAATGGAATAAAATCCAAATAAGCATGCTCAGTTTGCACTGTTCCTAAATACTGAGACAGCAGAGAAATTAAAGAGAAGCTAAGGAAAGAAATTTACTGGACTACAATTGTATCACACTTATTTTGCAACTTGTATTCTGAACTTGGAAAAGTTCACTGTATTTTCACTTTGTTCAACCAACAGCTATTTTCTTCACTTTAGGCATGCACATTATCATGTCATTTTCCAGAAATATTTTTAATAGAAAAAACAGTTTTGCTATTTTCCCAAAGCACAGAGGAATTAAATACACATACTTACCGATCCCTTTTCTACCACTCTGTTCAACATGACAACACCACGGCTTTTCTGTTCCCAAATCATCTCCCAAAAGTGACCACAAGTATTTGGCAGAGGACCCTGCAATGATACAGACCAGGAGTAAATAACACTCACGTACCTTGAGTTCAGAATGTTGTAGCCAAGCAATAGCTATCTAGCAGTTCTAATCTCTGTGTGTGGCTTCTGTTTTTAGAATCATAACAGGCATAATTATTTTAAGGGAATTCTTTAAAGTCTTCCTGTTGTGAATATGTTATATATTAATAGTTAAATGCGAACAAGTTTTCTATGCAAATACACAATGCAATTAATGTCCCTAATTGCCAAAAGCAAAATGGGGAAGAACAGTACTAAGCCAGGTTTACCCGAAAAAAGATAAATATGTTACTAGGCAGGATGAATGAGAGATGTTTGTCCAATCAATGGGAGCTATGATTCGCAGAGGTGGGAGACAATAAAAGCTAACTGCTAGGAAGTTCATGAAAAGTCTTGGCATAGCACTGAAAAAGAAGGTCGAGAAAAGTTTACTATTTCTGCTAGATGTTTACCCTAACTACTTTCAATTCAATCTTTCTTCTAGGTCAAAGGTTCTTCCCTTCCCACCAGTGCCTTACAATGCATACTGTCTTGAAGTATTAAAATATAATTACAAAAGACTTATTCAGGACTTAGGTTGCAGCAGGAAAGAAACAAACTAAAGATGGGACCTGCTCCCACCAACACAGGGATATGACCCTTGAAAATGCAGACCAGTTGTTAAGTGTCTAAACATAAGTTGCATTAGTTGACAACTGATACTTAATACCTACCAAAATTACATTGTATCCTTTAGGAATTAAAATAACTAATCCAGATTAGATATCGCTAGGAATGGAGTCCAGCATAATTTTGGAACAGACAGTTCTATTCAAGCTCATAAGACAAGGCATACCACTTCGTAAACTTCTTAAAGTGTAGCACTTTGCATTGGCATCTAGTAAAGGAACTGCAATTGAATTTTGCTTCTTTTTCAACAGAAAATTTGGTACAAATTCTGGAGCCCTGTAGACTTCATTCACAGCTATTTTTGTTATGGTGAAAACTCTGTCTTCTATTTTGTTAATGCTGGAGAGTAGTATTGCAAAAGCATCTTGTTATACCACCATTATTTCATGCGGGGGCTTTCAGTTCTCTTGATTCACAGTACAGGCCCCTGATGAGTTGATGAAGTGGTGATCTCCTTTCAGTTCAGCCAGACATCAATATGATCTATAACTTGTGTGTCACCACACATTTTCCTTACTGATGTTTCTAGCCCTTGACTTTAAAAAAAGACTTTGTACTGATTCCTTAAATCAGTATTAAAATTTCTCAGGACTCTTCATACACAGGTAAAGTAAGGAAAAACAAAACACTGCATTAAACCTGTTAGCAGCTTAGGCTCAAACCAATGAAAGGAGACAGGCTGGAGCAGGGTCATATGTTTAAGTTATGTGAGTAATTTAAACTACCCGAGGGGAGAAGATCCTATCAAAGAAAACAGCTTTGGAAAGAGAAAATTACATGATTGATCACATCACTAGCTATTAACGGGAAAGGTGGGGCATACAGCTTCCTTTATTTTGGGGAGTAGATAACTGGATTCCCTATATAAATGTCTATATCTATATGCATGCTGTGGAGAGTGACAGAAGAATGAATACTTCCCTGGAAATTGCTCATGCCTTTTCCAACATTGACCAGTTATTTAGCTAGGAAAAAGGGGGAAAATACTGTGCAAATCTCAGTCACTTAGACCACAAAGGCATGAAAATACTCTGTAGTACAGTATAGCATTCTTCAGTGGAGCTCTCTGAGCACAGAGGATGTTGGAATGCTAAAGTCATAATTCTAATGAATAATTCTAGGTAATACAGATACCAAAAAGAAAAATCCTGTAATATTTTTTTCAGTTTATTCCCCTCAACATATTTTATTCCCCTATAGCCATATAGTAAACTAAAAAACCCCACAAAATTATAAACACACTGTTCCAAAGGGGTTCTTAAGTCTTTGGAATACATATTTCATAAGGGTGTGTGCGAATACTTCTACAAGGCACTACAGATCACTTCTAGGAGTTCTTTTCTAGCCAGATCCCCTAATGCTCAACAGGTTTTTCCTAGTCTTTGTATCTCATAATATGCATTTCTACTATAATAAAATGCTGCATAATAGGGAGACTAATGCTTTTTTACCTGCTTTGCCCTGCAATGCACAAGTTATAGATGCCTGAGCTTCAGAGACTGGAAAGAAGACTATGATATGTATTCCCCCCACCCCTTTGTGCTTCAGAACACCTACCTGTGTGAGGATGTAGCTCCTGTGTGCCTCTTCCATTGTTATCAAACTAGCATTGATATAATCATTATCACCTTGCTGTAGCTTAATTCGACTGTGGTCAACTATAGAATGAACAGAGAAAAAAGACACTGTTGAATATGTGTATATTATTCATTTTAGGCTAAGCTACTCATTGAAAAGTAGGGCTGAACATTTTTCATTCCTAGACAATATAGGACAAGACAGTCCCATCATATTGGGTTCCCAAGAATTCCTTCAAAAAAGATACAAGGGCACAGGGGTGGGGAGAAGGACAGATAATGTTTAATAAGATATTATACTACAATAGATAAGTAATAATCTTCATTTCAATTTCAATATAGATAGCAATAGGCATATCTACAACATACTGAAGCTGCACCAACATTTATAAGCTTTCAAAAGAATAAAGTCACTGCTTAAATTCTCAGAAGAAATCAGAATCCCAACTGGAAAGCTTAATCTTCTCTTCTCCTGCCTTGTTATATAATTCTTATTCAATTAATGTTTCTCCTAACTCACACAGATATTATCAATACTGCACTGCTCTGACAGTAACTGCACTCCATTTTTAAAGATCTCAAGTTTGCTCTATTTAGCCTACACAGATATAGAAGAATCTCCACATTTTACAGGAAAACCAAACTGACTGGAATCCATGTCATCATCTAAAACAAACAAAATCAATGGTGGTTACCACAAAAAGAACTCTTAGATCTGATCCGTAAGCAAAATTATGTGCAACATTATAGCTTCTATTGAGTTTTCCTGGAAGACTCAACATAATTTTAGTCTATTAAGTGATCACAGAGGTTTTCTAGTACATGAACATGGAGAGCATATCCTGTCTACAGTATTAGCATTCTGACTGAATTCTCTCATCTCATGCTACCCATGGGATAGATAACCTATGATGGGTAGCTGTATCCAGAGAACCTGGACTGCTCTCCTCAAATTAGACACCCTGACAAACTCATGGATTATTCTAGGGGGTTGTTTTTATGCCAGTGGGTTGTTGTGTAACCAAACCCAGAAGAGTAATTTCTCTATAGGTTAACAGGATTGGCTTCAGAGTCTTACAGGATGAGTGGCAAAACCCCTAGCACTCTTCATAATCTTTCCAGTACTACTGGCGACGGGTCACTGATGTCCAAATGAGCCTTTGGTATCATGATCACTTGTCTGTAACCTTTTCTTTTTGGTCCTTGAAAAACATACAAATGTTTTAATGAGTTTTTCTAGAGCAGGGTACATAAAAGGAAACCAACAAGATAGGACTACATTTAGCCTAATTTGTGCACGGTGCACAAAGACTGTGCACAATAATAATACTAAATAATACTAAAGGAGTAGATACTAATATTCATACTAATGGAACCCATTTGCCCCAATGAAAATAAGGAAAAAGGAGAAGTAGGTACAACAAAAGTGGGGTACAATATCTTACACATAAGAGTGTAATTCTCTCAAGTTTAAGTGTTGAACTGACAGTTCCCAGTGTCCTCTGCATTTACAACACTTCCCAGAGTCTGCATCTGGTTCAGAAAGGAAAGGTATTAACTCCCCCATACTTTTTATGACTCCTTTTCAGAACACTTACTGTTGCACTTACTGTGGTTCCCTGACCGTTTCAAAACAAGGAAACAAAACCCCTGAAATATCTGAATGAGACTGAGGGACTGGCAGCCGATCAAGGGGATGTGGGTGAATACTGCTGGCATCCGTTTGTTCTGCCCTGCCACTTCAAAGCAATTAAACAAAAAATCTGTCAAGAATATTTGCACAATTGATTTTGGGCTGGGAAATATATGCCAATTTAATGGTGGGGAGTAAATGCTGAGAATATTTGCACAACTGCATTAATTGCTACGGTAGCATAGGTCTGCAAATTTCCCCTCCATTTGCTTCTCAGCCATTAAATTTGTATAAAGCTTGCAATCCCAAAACCCTATGCAAATATTTTATTGATTGATATCTTGTCTTTTTCCAACAAAGGGCTCAAAGCAGCTTACATCATTCTCCTCCTCCATCTTATCCCCACAACAACAACCCTGAGAGGTAGGTTGGGCTGAGAGTCTGTGACTGGCCCAAAGTCACCCAGGTGGCTCCATGGCTGAGCGGGGACTAGAACCCAGATCGCCTGAGTCCCAGTCCCATGCTCTTAACCACTACACCACACTGGCTCTGACAAATATCCCTGACAAGTTTTTTAAAACCCTTAAAGATGGCTGAATGGGATGAAGCAAATAGTGTGCCAACAGTACTTGCATCCAAGCACCCCTCCAGATCCCATTCATTCCATCCCATGGAACCTCTGTTTTAGGATTTTTTAAAAAAAGAACTGTCAGGGAACCACAGCACTAAGCGCTCTGAAGAGGAGCTACTAAAACAGTGGTGATGAAGGGTGTCTGCATTTAACATTGTCTCATTCTTGAGTGGCTGGAAAGTTGGGAGGGGGAGCCTGAGAACACTGAGAACTGTTAGTCCGACACTTAAATGCCAGAGGATCGCATTGCCAAGGATGAACTATCCCCACCGCCACTCCAACTGCCTTCTGTCCTTTGGCTATTCCTCCCTGTTTTCAGTGTTCCTGAACAGTGTTTATGGGTCCCTCCTTTCCATTATTTCTATCCACGTCTTCACCCCGTGTGCAAATTAGCTGGCAGTCAGCCTTGATTGTCAACTTCCTTGTATGTTGCTTACTCTACTTCAGTGCTCCCTTTTGACAGCTGAAACATACAAGGAAATTGATCAGACAAGACCACATATGGGAAAGCTGTAAAAATGCATAAAAATAATTCCACTAATAAAAATACTACCCCACTTGCACATTTTGAATAATCTTTCAGCAGCTGGGGAATATAAAGGAGGAATGATGGGAGCAGGGATGGACACAGGGCAAGGAGGCAAGACAGGTTCTGCTGCAAAGTCCCCAGGTATACACTCTGGAACCAGCTGGAGAGAAGGAGAGGGAAAAGAACCCATGTCATCAGTTGTTCTGTGAACAATCTACACTGCACAGCTTATTTTCAGGGATGGCTTAGCACTAGGTCAATGACTGTTGCTTACTTGACAGTAAAAAGTTTTTCATGAGACACTGTCATTATCTAAAATTGTACTGTGACTTATTTGAGATTTGGTTTCAAATCCTTATTCATCCTCTCTTAACTTGACTCACCTAACAGGATTGCTGGGAGGATAAAAAGAGATAGCCCCATTTATCTAGCCCCATATATCCTGGAGAACGGATGGAATACAAATGGAATTCACTGTCATAAGTTGCAGTGAGAGCTACTAGGCTCCATGTCTTTAAAAGGGAGTCAGAAACATTCATGGAGATAATGCTATATGTGATCACCAAACTCAGAGGCAGCATTGCCTCCGAATACCAGTTGCTGAAGCGGAACAGCAAAGGAGGGTCCTCGCATTCATCGCCTGCTTATGGGGAGATGTCGGGTCAACCACTTTGGTAAACAGAGTGCTGCACTAGGTAGGCTTTTGGTGCTGAGCCAGCAGATCTTTTCTTAACTTCTAAAAAGCCAAAGTGCTGGTGCTCGTGCTTGCCCTGATAACTATGTGATCCTTCCTGGAAGCTTTGCCCATTCCATGGTGATAGGCTGAGCTCATTCAGGGGTGAAAGAAAAGCATGTTCAGACACACTTTTTCTATTACCAGTGGTGCCTACACACCAGGATGCAGGCTTGTTCAGTGATGCAAAAGGGAAAATTCTCCCATGCTTTCCTCTGCCATGGAAATTTTTTTCTTTTCATAAGTTCACTGGCAACAATGAAAGGATCCCAACCTTAAATACACTATCAGGAAAGTTGTAGTTTCTGCTTCTTAAGGAATGTTTGCCAATACGCCATGCACAATTCTTCGAGTGTTAGCATTTATTAGTGTATCCTGTGGGTCCATTCACAGTGGGTTGTAGCACATGCTGGTCACCACTGTGAATATTCAAGCTGTGGCAAATGGGGACCACAGCTAATCATGACATGCAATCCCATGCAGAGTGGCTTCCAATTCAACATTTCTATAAAAACCAACATCACTGATACTGGAAACTTATTTCCACTAGGCCTGATACTGGAAACTTATTTCAAGGTACACAAGTCACATCTCCACAGACTCATTGACTTTGTCCATTACCAATGCTGCTTTCTCTACTCTCTATTTTGCACATCTCTGTTCAATAACAAGTATTGGCTATCTGACAGTCAAGTAGGGGTAGATTTGGTAAAGGATCAAAATATACCAGGAGCACCAATTTTGAAAATTCAGTTTTAAAAAGTAGCTTTAAAAAAAGCTTTGTATGTTGAAAGCAACAATAAACTCCAGTAGTTTGAACTTCTTGATAGAAATAGTATTGCAAGGACTTCTTAAGGGTTCTAAAATGAAATATGTTTGTATACCATTTTTAAGCTGAGCCTTTTCCAGCCAATAAAACCTTAATATCAGATTTCCCAAAGCTCCACCCAAAAACAGGAAAATGTTTAGGAATTTCCCTAAACTTCCTTACAAAAAGGAACAGATGCTGTACTCCATTTTTTCCTTTTTATTCCTTTAGCTCTTCCTGTTCTTCTAGCTTATAGGATGATTCAGATATTTCAAGGACTACTTGCTGAAATTCCCTTTAGTCAGATGTAAAACAGGAACCTAAAATAGATTATATATAACTTGCTTTACTCATATAACAATTATATTTGGTATGTTCAATTTAAAAGTATACTTTAAAAGTATACAATACAGCAAGACCCCTGTATTTGCCACCCAGCCTGAAACCACAGATGATAGCATATACTATATACTGTATATATACATTTCTTTTTTCACAATTTCATAGATAGAATATTTGTTCCTATCCTAGCAACCTCAGCATGCATTTTTTTTTCTTTCCCTATAAAATCAAGAATTTTCACTTAAAGGAAGCACTTTATGACTTGCTTTTCAGACTGAGGTCAACCATGGGTGAGTGAAAATGCAGTAACTGAACCAGTGGATACAGGAGTCCTGTTGTAATTACAAAATTACTGACTTTACTTTTTAAATAAATATAATTCTATGAGCAAACCAAGTTACACAAGTTAAATATCTTGGATTTCAATGCCCAGGATTCCTGACAATTCCAGTGGATAGCAGGCCAATGAGAGCTAAATATCTGAAAAGTACACACTGAGGAAGTTTGATTTAAGTGACTTTAGATCTGTATTATATTCCTGCCCCAACTTTTTTTCTTTTCAAAGTACTCATGGTAGCTTACATAATCCTCGTATTCTTCCTCTCAACTTTATCCTCACAACAACCCTGTGAGGTAGGTTAGGCAAGAGTCAGTGACCAGCCCAATGTTGCCCAGCGAGCTTTGTGGCTGAGTGGAGGCTAGAACCCAGATCTCCCGGATCTCTCAGTCCAACACTCTTATCTTTCAATTTTCCTCAAATTCTCCTTTTTTTATCCAAAACTCTCTAGAAAAAAACTCCATAGCTTCAGAATTTTCAGAAAATTTACATCTCTAGTACTATCCTACATCCAATATAACTGTTTTGCTGTGTCGTGCACATCTGGAAATGATACCACCAATACATACAAATTTGGAATCAACCCTGGTTTATAATTTGGGTTTCCAGGGTAAGCCCTAACTATAGTTTACCAATTTGGACAGCACAGCAACAGATGGTTTATTTCAAACTAGGAGAGATGGCAGGGACTGCTACTTGCAAAGAAAGAAACGACTGGGCACATGAGCCAAAAAGTCCAGCCTAGTTGATCCATATAATGCTTTGGCAGTATGTCTGAACAACCCCGTTCATTTTAAAGACTTTTTTAAGGAAAACAATAAAAGGTAATAAATCAAGTCTGATGAACTGAGGGAGACATGATACTTACAAGGGCTGACATCTCTGTACCTGTTGCGATTTTTGTTTTTGGAAAGTTTGGCCACTTTGCATGGAAAGTCACTGGCTTCATGTCTTATGTCCTGGAATGAAATAAAGTAAGATATTTGTACATGCTACCAGCTTTCAGTGAAGATTCACAGTTCTGTCTATATTGTTATGCTTTGGTTTTGTTGATTCAGAAAAACCACTGAAAATTGTTAACTTATCACAGTACTTAATTTTGTGTGGAGAATTTGCAGCACAAACATTTCATGTTTTAGATTAAAGATGCCGAGTATGCTCCTTAAGAGGATTCAAGCTCATATTATAGACTGTCAGTATATACAGTCAGCCAAAGAGGCTTTGAACAGTTAGAATATTGAAGTAGAGACCAAGTTTTATGTGATATATAGTGGTAAAAACAAGTTCACTGCCAAAACAAAATACACCAGACTGGGCCTCATTCAATTGCAAAGGATTCAGTAAAGTAAGCAGAACAGCTAAACAGAGATATCTGCAAACACACAGTTTGTCCTTCTGGATCCCATCATAAGCCATCATTTCATAAATACATATTAATAACTAAAGGCAGCAAATGTTTGGCTAAGATAAGAAACCAAGTTTTCTTGAGTCATCAGCAAGCTGTGTTGGACTTGCAGATGTCAAAGGTTCCTTTGTACTCAATGTGTTCTGTGCATCAAGGCAGCAACATAGTTTTAGATATATCACAGACAGAAATATCCAACCTCTGCAGCAGCCCCTTGTCTCATTTTACAACATGCAAATAATTCAACAGTTCCTGGAAGTAATAAAATGGAAGCTTTTTGTGCCATCTCAATATAAATCAAATTCATGTGACATATGACAGCAGCTTCATACAGAATGTATACAGCATAAGAACATAGAAGATATTGTGCAGAAAAAGAGTGAATTTGCAGAATTTTCACTTGAGGCATTAACAAAAAAAAAAAAAAAAGACATAATGGACATAAGGAAACTTAAGAAATCCCAGGACAGGGATCTTGCATGTACAAAGTGAACAGTAAAGTTCAGCTTTAAAAGGCTATCCAAGAAAATTAAACAAAATGCTGGGCCAAACTGCATCATTTTCCACTAGGCTTGGAGTGAAGCCATTTTTTATTCATTCTGTTAGCTAAATAAATGTAAGACAACATACATGAACACCACACAAGTTCACTTTGTTTTCTTTTGTATTTAGACATAATAAAGATTTAGTGCCAGATTGCAGGCATGTCTCTCCTCCACCCTCCACCTCCCAGAACACTGTATAGACCATTCTCTCAAATTCTGAACTAACAAGTGGTCCAGCACAGGGGTGGGCAAAAGAGAGATCTCCAGATGTTTTGGACTTCAGCTCCCAGGTCAGCATGGCCAATGGTCAGGAATGCTGGGTGTTGAAGTCCAACACATCTGGAGATCCACTTTCTGCACATTCTTGGTCTAGTAAACCCTCATACACTTGAATATATTGGACTTAACGTTTATCAAAAATGGTTACATTAGTTCTTCATTGCCAGAAATAGAATTAAGTAGAGTGTGAAATGACCGCTACTGAGGAAAAAAAACCCCTTCCTGTAAGATACTAACAACTACCAGACTGAGGCTAATATTTCCATCCAAGGGAGGGTGCTAAGAAACACAGAAACAGAGTGAGTCAGAGGGGGTCTCCCGGGCCATCTAGTCTGACCCCTGGCTGCAGCCGCATGACATGCCTAAGTTGGCATTAGTGGCCAAATCCAAGCACATTTAGATAAGACTAATTTTCAAGACCCAAATAGGTATATCACACATGGCTGGTTGATTCCAACAATTCCATCTTATCATCTTAGCATTTCTGCTTTGTGGTTTTCTTCTATCCTCCATGCTTTTTTGACCTACACTTAACTGTTGGGCTTGTTCATGTGCCACCACAACACTCCATGGCAAATTTCAGCCATGACTGGTAGCTGCACATGCCAGTAGCCATTTTGAATGCTGAAGCCACGATGAGCCGTCACCATAGTTTATTGTGAGCTTAAGTGGACTCTGGGGGATGGTGGAGGACAGGAAGGCCTGGAGGAATGTTGTCCATGGGGTCGTGATGGGTCGGACATGACTTTGTGACTAACAACAATAAACACAGCAAGTGTGGCTTATGTGATGGTTAAATAATCATTGCATAAGCCTTGTCAGTTTCAGAGAACATGATGAAGTAATGGCAACTTTCTTCACGGACGGATGTGCCAGCCAGCTTCTGAATATGCAAAAGCATAGCTGGAACATGCATAACCCACCAAGTTAGCTGTACTGATCATAAGAAGTGGTCACTGTGTGAGATCATCTGACATCTGGAATGAAGACCAATCAATATGTGAATGACACCTAACTCTTCTCTCTCTTTAATGTAGATGAGGCAGTGGGAGCACTAGATCAGTGCCTGGCTGGCAGAAGGCAATAAACAGAAGCTCAGTCTGGATAAAATGAGGTGCAGCTTGCACACACCAAGTCCATTACTGGCTCCAGCAGGGAGGGCTAGGAAAACCCAGGAAAGCTGAAACTGAAAACCAGGAAAGCTGCTGCTAGTCAGTGTTGACAATACTGGGCTAAATGATACAATAGTCTGTATAAGGCTGTATGCCATGAGGGTGGAGGAATACTCACTGATCTATCATTATCAACCTCTGCAGCCTGGAGGGCTGGACATCCCCTCCATCACTGAACAAAGTGAGAGCCTGTGGCCTCACAGGATATCATCAGTGGAGGGAAAGAATCTGAGGAACAAAGGCATTTTCTGAACTATCTTCTCAAGAGACAGATTGGTGTCTGTCCTTATCCTGCCAAAGATAAGCACGAACCAATATTTGTGGGAACACTCATGAGGAGGATCCACTGTTTCTTTCTGTTACACTTTTACAGTAAGCAAAAGACCTTCCTGATTAAAGCATGGTAAGGACACCGGAGACAATTAAATTTGCTTCATGGCTTGGATGTGACATGCAAGGTTCCACTAGCCCTCCCTGGTCTAGACAAATCTACGGATTTTTAAATATTGTAAAGACATCCTCATCCACGATTCCCTACCAGCCTCCCTAATTGGACAGTTTCTTCAGCTCTATCACACGCTTTGAATAGACAAAGCACAGAATTAAGATATTCAATGAGATCAGGTGTTTTCACAACTACTTCCACCAAATACATATGAAATACAAGCACTGGAATTCAATGTAATCAATGCAGTTGCAGTTGGGTTTGGAATGAACCACTTTGTAGGCTGCTGATGGGATTCACATGACAGAAGAAGGGACTGTAGCTCAGTGCTAGAAATATATGCTTTGTGCTCAGAAGGTCCCAAAACTTTGATCTCTGGCATATCCAGATAGAGCTGGAAAAACATTCGGCCTAAAACCTACTTGTCCATTTCAACTCTACTGGATGAAAAGGACCAAGGCAACCTCTGTGATAACCACTGTATGAAAGGACATCCATAAAGAAAATAAAATCCCCCATGTAGGAAGCCAGATGTTAGAGAATGCGATTCTGGCCCAATTTTACCTCGCTTACCCTCTTGGGTGATTTTCTTTTGTGGAAACTTCAAATTCAACAAGGTACATCCAGGCATACATTTACCACCTTATACTACCACAATTCCATTATTCCAAGTACAAGGTGGTATTTTCAACATCATTTCAAGCAGAAAAACACTTGAAAGAGGAAGCGACCAAAATGTTCTAGTGCTACAATATGTGTGCATTTTGAGCATGAGTAACAGGATACTAAAAATCTTATGTGCTTGAATCACTTAGGAAATATAGGCATGGTAGACTGTGTATAAGAAACTTGTGAATTAGAAGGAAGAGGCAGCTCAGAGGTGACAGATCACTCTTCTCCCTGTGCAGTATCTTTCTAGTAAATCTAAACAGAATAGTTTCTTGTTTCCTTCATGAGTAAGAAGTCTGCTTAAGGTTACACATGACGAATGTAAGAAGAGAGCAGAGAGAGGCATACAGTTACTCATCATTCTCTCACTAGAGTTTTCAGATATGTCATAGGGGACTGCCAAGTTCCTGTCAACCACTGCTATAAAGTATGGTACAAATCCAAGTGACAGATCTAACATGTTCTGTCAGGTTGGGAAATTGCCTGTCCTTCACACAGGTGCAATTCCTTAGTGTCTTGCAGTGTTCCGTTTCATCTTTGCTATTCTTAAACATGAGGCCACCAGAACAGGTTGTGTAGTGGAAAAGTAAATTCCAGCAAGGGTTGATCCTACACTGTGTGCGCTCTCTTCTCCCTTCCCTCCCTCTCCGCTAGTCCTATTTTTAAAGTTCAGGAGTATTCTCTATCAGGTCTAACTCACATGTGAGAGAGGAGTAAAGGTGAGTGGAATGGCATTTGCTCTGCCTGAATTTCTGGCCTGACCCACTGCTGGCATGTGTCCCATGAAGAAACAAATTCCTTGAGCTGAAAAGGGTCCCATATCCCTGTGCTGTTGTTGTGACATGCTGTCCAGTCATTTCCCATTTATGGCACCGCTATGAAGGAATGCCCTCCAAAATATCCTGTCCTTTACAGCTCTGTTCAGTTCTTGTAAACTCAGAGATGTGGTTTCCTTTATGGAATTGATCCATGTCATAGTTGGCTTTCCTCTTCTTCCTTCAACTTTCCCAAGCATGATTGTATTCTCTAGTGAGTCTCCCTGCCATTTGATTTCCTCCCTGCCATTTGATTTCTAGTCTAGAATGTTTGCATCCTGGGTTGGGACAGTGGTACAGACTGGTGATTTTGATGCTGTACTCTCCATCTTGCAACCCAGCCATTCGCCTATCTCAAAATCTGTCTCAGTTGCAAAGGTTACTGGTCCTGGGGAATGGAAGCATCCATGCCAAGGGCACCCTTTCTGGAGTGGTTCAGGATTTCATAGACTCCATAACATCCCTGGGACTGTCAAAACATTTTATTGCCCCAAAACATGAAGCAAGGCACACTCTAGATTTGCTTTTTTCAGCTAGGTATGGGGGCACTGATCTGAAGGTGGGAGACTTTGTTATCAATCACTGTCTGCTGATATTTAGACTAAAAGCAACTTGTCCCCTCAGCAAGG